GCGGCCCCCGGGCCCGCCCCGCCCGCCCGTCCCCGCCTCACGGGCCGGAAGGGGCGGGGCCGGGCGTGACGTGGCGGGATGGCGGAGTCCTACGTGAAGCCGGGTGAGGGGGCGCGGGGCGCGCGCGGCACTTCCGGTGCGGTGGAGGGGGGGGTCCCGGTCCCGGGACACGGCGGGGCCGCGCCCGGGGAGCGGCTCCTCCGGGGGTCTGCGTGGGGGGGAACGCCGGGGCCGTAGCGGGTGTGGGGAGCGCCGGGAGGGACGTGCCGTGGGGGTTCCGCCTGGCGCGGGGGCTCCTCGGTGTCCTCCGGTCTCACCGCGCCCTTCACTGCGGCAGGGAACCAGGAGCGCGGCTGGAACGACCCCCCCCAGTTCTCGTACGGGCTGCAGGCGCAAGCCGGGGGCTCCCGCCGGACCCCGCTCACCCGCCGGGCCCCGCCTCCGCCCGCGGGGGCATCCCCAGGTCAGCACGGCGGAGCCGCCGCCTGCCCCTCACCCTACCCGGCGGTGCTGGCGCGGCGGAGCCGGGGCCTCTGGGCCCCCCTTCTGCGGTGCCCGGTGCCAGCCGGGTGCGAGCTGACGGGCTCGGCGCCTCTGCCCTGCAGGTGCCCCCCCGGAGCCGCCCAGTGTCCCCGCCGACCCCGCCGCGCCGCCCCCCCGGGCGCTGGGGCCGCCCCCCCAGGGTTCTGTCGGCGCTGCCCCGCGGGCCGAGGGCCGGCCGAGCGCGGCGTGCCCGGAGCGGGAGGAGTGCAGCGTGTCCGCCGACACCGTCCTTGCCCCGCTGCGGGCGGCCCTGGACGCCTGCCGGGCCACGGTGCAGGTGAGGCTGAGGCTCCTCCCGCCACCTCTGACCCCGCGGTGCAGGGGGGACGGCAGCCAGGGCAGCCAGGCAGGGGCTGCCGGTTTCCAAGGGACCTGAGGAGGGAAGAGAGCCGCCCCTGCACCGAGGGCTCCCCAGAGCTGGTGGGGGCACATCTCCCTCACTCCCAGCTCACCTCTGCTTCCAGAAACAAGTGTGCAATGACATCGGGCGGCGGCTGACAGTGCTGGAGGACGCGTGGGCTCAGGGGAAGCTGTCGGCACCAGTGAGGAAGAGGATGAGCCTCCTGGTGCAAGGTATAGGGTGAAGAGGGCTGCAGCCTCACCAGCAGCAGGCCCTGGGGCAGAGGCACCCGCGGGATGGTGGATCCTGCACTCCTGACGGGATCCCCTGTCCTGGCAGAGCTTCAGCAGCAGCACTGGGATGCAGCTGATGAGATCCACCGCTCGCTTATGGTGGACCACGTGAATGAGGTGAGCCAGTGGATGGTGGGCGTCAAGCGCCTCATCGCTGAGACGCGGCAGCTGCCCACCGGAGAGACGGACGGCAGCGCTGACACCGAGCCCGCGACCGAGCCGGAGCAGGAGGGGCCCTGACACCAGGGACGGGGCTGTGGACTGTGAGCGGGGCAGCCCCTGCCCAGGGCCACCGGCAGGAACAGGGCCCCTGCTGCTGGAGGGAGTCTGGGCACCCCCTCTGCCTCCCAATCCTCATCCAGAAAAGGGGATTTTAATCATTGCGACATTTTAGTGGCGATTCATTATGTTTAATAAACAGCACCAACCTGCCCCCTCCCACAGTCTCCCTGAGGGTTCTGGCACTGACAGGTCCTGGGGCTCCCAGGGTCATCAGGAGATGGGATTGCTGGCTGAGGTTGCTTCATTAAGCTTGGCCATGGGGCTCTGGCCTTGGCAGGGCGCTCTTAGCCAAGAGGATGTCTGGGGAAGAACTACCAGCATGTGGCTGGAGCAGGCAGTTCTGTGTATCTGTGCTGCACTGGCTGCAAAGCTGGGCCCCTCATCAGCCCCAGAGCCCAGCCCTGCTGCACGAGGGGTGTAGACTGGCTGGGAAGGCCGATGTGCAATGGCCCCTGGCATGATCAGGGTTTGCGCTGCAGCCACAGCAGGGGCTCCCATGTGGCCTCCTGCTGTCCTGGCACAGCTTAGAGCTGAGTCTGGAACCCAGGAGACCTGGGTGACCTCAGGGACAGGGAGGTCCTGGGACAGACACATGTCCAGTCAGGTTTTATCTGTGCTGTTCTTGTGTCCACGGGATGGCCCCGCCAGCTGCCTCCACCACAGCTGAGAACAGACCCCAAGGCCCTCACACCCCCCACCTGCAGGGTCACCCTCTGCACCCTCCTGGTGCTGCTCACCTCCCCTCCCTGGGGGCGAGGTCCCCGCTGAGCCCTGACAAAGACACACACCATGTTAGCACAGGGGTTTCACGGTGTTTATTGATCAAGCATGAGCTCCTAGGCAATTGCACCAGCCACTTGTGCTAGAGCCTGAGGTGTCACACGTCCATCCCCAGCATCAGAGAGGGCTGCAGCCAGCTGGTCACAGTGCCAGCACCTCCACGAGGCCCAGGAACAGGCCCAGCCATGGCCTGGAGACGAGGAGATGGAAACTCAGATGTCCATCTCAAACTGGTCTTGATCTGCAAGGGCATGGATGGATACGGGACCAGGGTTAGGATGCGGGCAGGCAAAGGGAGCAGGAGCTCACCTTGTCCCACGCCCCAGGCTGGTGTCTGTGGGCAAGGGCCGCGGCCCTGGGCTGCTCACCTGGCATGGCCTCTTCGCTCTCATTCCGCTCCTTGAGCTCCTCCAGCTTGACGAGGCTGGACTGGGCCAGGGATGTGACACCGGGGGTCTGGGGCAGGCAGCAGGGAGGGGTCCTGGCCGCGGGTGAATTCTTGCACTCCAGCAGGAACTTGCGGTCGCAGATGATGCGGGTACCTGCCAAAAGCGGGGGCCTGTCAGGCACTGCTGGCCCTGGCCACCCCCGCCCCTGAGCACCTCAGCCCAGAGCAGGGGGTGGGAGCCAGTGCTTGGCCATGGCTCATGGACACATCTGGCTCTGGAGCCACCACATCTGGCTTCCCACAAGGCAGCCTGTGACACCCATCCTGCCCAGCAGCTATTCCCCACATTATTCCTCCCCTTCAGGCTTTTGGAGCTCTGCAGGATGCAGCACAGGGGGTCCAGCCTCCCAAGGGCTGCCCCATGGGTGGCCAACATAGGCCACCCCTGAGCTGCCTGAAGGGCAGGGCCAGTCCTGGGGCACACAGTGAGGCCCCAGCCTGCTGCCTAGGCAGGAACAGCTTTGTGTGGTGCCCTGTTCCAGGGTGGAGCAGCAAGGGCTGGGTATCGCACCATGGGCACCCTGGGGACCCGTTTCCATTGTCTCAGCCAGCCACCTGCTGCTCCCTGCAGGAGGAGAACAGCTGGGTTGGATGGGACATCTCCTCCTCCAGCCTGCTGTGTGTGCAGTGTCCACCCGGGGCACACTCTGCCTCCTCCCCATGCTCCAGCTGCCTGCCAGCAACACCTGAGGTCACAGCAGCCTCTGTGCCACATCTGCAGCCCTGCCATCCCCTGCCCATCCCTCCCTGCAGCCCAGCACCAGTTCCCTGCCAGGCTCTGGCAGCGGGTGCAGCCCAGGGTTGCAGGGAGCCCAGAGCTGCTGCCTGAGGTGCCAGCGAGCCTGGAACTCCTGCTGGGCACCGCAAACACCTTACACAGCCTGCCCTGCCACGGCCCCGCAGCACCGGGCTGGGCTCTCTCACCCCAGAGCAGCTTAGCTGAAGGCACACGATGGAGCCAGGGCGGGCACCTGTGGCTCAACCCAAACGTGGCCAGCTCAGGAATGAGGCACAGACAGCAAAGAAAAGGACCTGTTCCATGGCTGACCCAGGGGGTCAGAAGGGGAAAGGAGGACAGGCCTGGGGCAGCCCTGCCACCCAGGGCTGGTGAACTCAAGTGGGCACAGACTCTGGCATTACCCCCATGCTTTCCCTGGATCCAGCCAGCCTGCCCTGAGGGACCACCACTGCACTCACCAGCCCCCTGGCACTGCCACCAGCCTGCTCCCCAGAAGCACAAGGCCTTGTCTCTGCCTGTGCCCCCTGTAAGCATGGAGCAGTGGTGGTCCAAACTTCGAGCAGGATCTTCCTACAAAAGTCTGTGGTTCCCTTTTCCACTTTAGTGGAGGCTGCTGGGGCCACTTGGATGTGGTGCCCAGAGGAAGTGCCCATGTCCTCAGGGAAGGAGCTGTGCAGGGAAGAGCTGCCTATGTTAGGCAGGGCTGGGGTGGCCAAGGCTGTTCCAGGGACAGCCCCATCCCCATCCTGGGTCTTGGCCACTGGTGTCACAGAGTGTGCCACCCCCCTGGAGCTGCAGCCGTCCAGGATGGGGAGACAGTGGCTCCCCAGGAGGGGGCAGGAGGAGGTGGCACTGCTTGCTGCAGCCAAGGAACCCACAGAAGTGGGCACCCCACCCCTCCCCTGCACCCTCACCCCAAGAGCACACACCTACTGCACCACAACACTGCTTGTTTTCAATACAACTGCTGCTGACACGTGTCCCCTGCCCACACAGGGCGTTGGGCTGGGTGATCTTTAAGGCCACTTCCATCACAAGCTTTTCTGTGACTGATTCTGTGTGTATGTCCTTTGGTCTTTGCACTACCACTAGGGCAGCAGCAGTTCAATTTTTTTTTTGCATTTTGTCCTCAAATACCAAGAAAAATATCTGAATATACCATCCAGTAGTGCTTCTGAGGTTGATTTGCCTGCAGTACATGGATACTGTTTGTGCAGTTTGGATTTTCAGTACTTCTTTATGCTTTTACTGGGGAAGCTCTGCTGCTGCATGTAAGGATTTGTCTGGATAAGGTGGAAGAAGGTGAAGACTCCACCTGGCCTGAGATTGATCCATTGGATTACACACTATTATGTACACTGGATTTTCCTGCTTAAGGAATGGATCCAACACTCTGTGTAGTTACTGCATTGCTTCGGAGCAAAAGCAAAACTAAGCACAGTCCAAGTGCAGAAAGTGGAGAACTGGGTCGTGAGTTAATGTTCATCTTAAGCAGTGTGCAAAAATCCTCTTCTTCCTCAGAGAAAGCACTTGAGAAGCTCTAAGTGGATTTACAGCATTACAAGAAGCTTAGAACTGAATCTATTACATTTTCCTCTAATAGGAAGCACTTTTCTAAGATCTGCTTCTGGGCAGGTGAAGGAACTCTGCGTTCTCCTGTCACTGTTGTCAGCCTTTCTTAGCAGCCTTGAGCAAAACCTGATCTCTCAGGTGACCACCTGCCAGAAGTGCCAGAAGCAGCAGAACTATTCCAGAAGGAAAAAACCGTAGCACAGAAGCAGGTTCACACCAATAAAAGGCTCACAAGTGGCAGGGGCAAGGACTCTGCAGACATCTGTGCCTGCAAACCCTCCCAAAGCTGACTGCACCCACGTGCTCAGTACGTGACCCTGGGGAGATGCATCACCGGGCACGGCAGCAGCTACTGAGGACAACATACAGCCCTTTCCAAAATTCTCACACACAACCTAGAAATGCTGTTTGCCTTTTATTGAGTATTCAGGTAAATATTTCACATTAATACAGGCTACATAAAGTAGAGCCACTATACGACATGAAATTTACTCAGCTTTTCCTTTTAAGTCTGTAAACAATTATACAGGTATTTACCACCCTAAAAGGTTGAAATCATGTCATCAGCTAATTCTCTGCTGCATACAAGGAGCATTCAGTAGTGTTTAGCCAAAAGCACTAATTTTGTCTGATTTTTAAGTTTGAAGTGGCTAAACTAAACTGAAGAACAGAATCAGTTTCTATAGGTAAGTCAATTTGTTCTTATACAACGGGCAATCGAGATTCCATTGTTACAGCCCACAGAAAATTGCTTAGTTAGGCACATGAAAAAAATCCCCAGGGTTCTTCAAGGTCATAAAGATTCCCAAACCAGGCTAAAAAAGGACAGACCCCCTTAAATCAGTTGACGTACTTGAGATGCATGTTTCCAATGTGAGGTGCCCAGGTGCCAGGCCAAATCTACAGCAAGAAATAAAAAGACAAATCTATTATAAAAACAAATAAAGGTTCCTTTAACAGTGTTTTACCACTGAGGGCGAGCATAAGGCTTCCCTCAAAATACAACCAGACTGTCCAAAGGCAGGAGCTCTCCAGCTCTGGCCAAGGTCTGACAACCTGCAAGGTGCTGAGTATGGATATAAACCCTCTTGCTTGTAACAGTCCATTACCTGGCTGAGCAGTCTTGAAATGCTGCTTGTTTTACCTGGAATAGCGCCATGGATATTTTATGAACACACACACACACACTGTAGGGAAAAGTCATGCAAATAATCTCAATCCTAGTTTCAAAGATCTGAAAAAACCAAACGTGTCACCAAGCCAAAACTGGGCATCAAAGCACCGTATAAAGCCCCAGGAAAGCACAGGTGGGAAAATGCAGCCACACTACCTGCTGAGCGTCAGTACATTCTGTTGAGTTCTGGACAACTTTGATCATGGGATTCCAGGCAGGATCTGGAGTATGGAGCCCGTTAAAGAGGGGCCCTCCTGGGCCATCTGCCAGCTGGGGGTGCGAGGGTATCAGAGTGCCGCCGTACATGGAGATGGGCAGGCCCTGAGGGGACGAGAGAGGACTGGTGAAGGACATGGGCAAGGGTGGCTGTAGGACCAGACAGAGCCAGGTCACCTCCACAGGTAATGTTCCACTACTGGCAGGAACCCCAGCACTGTCAGGGAACACTGGGACAGAGGATGGAACACAGTGACTTCAGAGTTGGAGATTCCAGCCAGCTTAGCCCCTTTTCTGAACTTCCACCGAGCAGAGGCTGCAGCACACAGAGTTTTCAGATAAGCCCACAAAGCCAGGCCAGCAGCTGAACACTGTGACCTCAGTGATCCCTCTCTGCAGCACAGGACAGCTGCAGTGCACACAGGCCACTCATCTCAGACTGGGTTGAAGACTTTCTCTAAATTCCTAATGGCCATCTAAAAGAATTCTTCCTGTTCAGAAAGAGCAAGTTACAGAGCAGCTTTTTGCAATTAGAAGAATTCCTTTCCTATGTGTGAATGGCTCTGCTTTGCAACACAGATGCCAAGACCACATGCTACAGCTCTTTCTGAAATGTGCTGGGAGTCCTGTCCTCCTGCCACTTCTCTAAGGAAGGTGTGTGGTGTTGTGGCCATGACTTGTGCTGAAAGCATTAAGCAAACTTGTAATCACCCTCAAGAGCTGGGCAAGCTTTGTGAAACATTTCCAGGAGACTGAGCTTCTGAGAGATGAAACACTGGAGAGTGATGAAGGCCTTCAGCTACTAAGCAGAGAATATCTGCAGCCTACAAACTCTGGCTTTGTTTAGACCTGCCTCCAGGCTTGGGCACCTTTTCTGGTCAGTTCTGGGATGAAAGAAGGTTCAGGACTGGGATGATGAGCAGTGGCAGCAGAGGCACACACACACACAGAGTGAACAGGCAGAACAGGAGATGCAATTAAGTCAGGCCCTGGTCATTTCATAAATCCAACTCTGTAACTTACTTTAGAAAAATCCACGAAACTATTTGGCATAGGTTGGTGGAAAATATTCGAGGGAGCCACTATTCCAGAATCATCTCTCTCCATTGGCTGATGCTGAGAAAACGTGCCTGGGTCTGACAGCTGCTGATGCATTGGATGACTTCCCATGACAGGCTGAGACCAACCGGACAAACCTTCTGCAAAGAGATTAAAAACAGCTGATTAAATTCACTGCAGACACTCGAGTGAACTCAGCAGGTGCACACACCTAAGGCCATCTAAAGGCACCCTGAAAACACACAGCCACAGGGGGATCTCAGGTATCCAGACAAAAGTGGAGAAGATGGGGACTGCCGTGAGCTGCGAGTTCCACATGTCCACTGCAAAAGGGCTAAAATCCAGCAGAGCTCCCAATGCTACCTGTAAGCACATAAAAGCTTTCCTTGAGAACACACAGCAATGCTGAAACACGAGTTAACCAAAGTGTGGAGGCCTTCATTGAAGCATGTAACAAATGCAAGACTCAAATGTTTGTTCTGAAAGTTACCAATAGAAACGCTCTACACCTCAAATGCTGCACAACCTCCTTCCACAAAATCCAGCTACCAGGAAACTAAAGGTGAAACTTCAGCTGTTTCAAAGTAATTCTTTGGAAATGAAGGCTGCCTGGAACAGAAGTTATCCCATTCTGTTCAAGAGTTATGAGGAAATCAATGCAAAACCCAGCATCCACAGCTCTGTGGGTGCATCAGCTGCACCTCAGCTGACACTGTAAGGTGTGAGTGGAAAACAAGAGAGACCTGGACAGAGGGAGCCAACAGTCAGGCCTGGAAACAGCCCCCTTTAACAGATAGAAATTGTTAACTCTAAGCTTTGGATCATTCAGAGGACTTTGAATGAGGTCTCTGCACCATTTCAGGCTCCCATGTGCCTGGTGACTTGATCCAGGCTGGGTGAAAACCACAGCATCAGGAGGAGAAACCACAGCACTTCTGATAGTAAAAGATTTTAAGATCATAGAAAATTCAGGGAGTTAGAAAGAAAGTTAGGCTTGGCAAGCCCTGGGAAAAGTGTTAAAAGTAGGCCCTGGGAAATGTTAGGCCTTGTGATTGCTAAGATCATGTGAAACTGCACCTGTGTAGTCAGTAAATGATAAATTATATAATTGTTAGATATGATTAGATATAATTATTGTTTAAAGAATCATGAGAAACTATGTTAGGGGTTTGAGGGGGATCACAAGAAATCCATGCTTGGGTAAACTCAATGTATACAATGGAACAATGTAAGTTTAATAATTAATATGTAAGTTACATAACGATAGAGTATAAAACATGTTCAGCTCCAAACCAAGGCGGGTCAGATTTGGGTCTGTGTACCCCTGACACCCAGAGCTCTTCAATAAAGCACCTTCATATAATCATTCCGTGATTATGTGTGTTCCTGAACGCTAACACTTCACTGACCTGTGCCCTCCCACCACTGCCAGCAGCTCTCCCCTCAGGATGTTCCAGCCAGGAGTACAGCCTGTGGAGCTTTACTCCTCCTCTCCAACCCTCCTTCCAGACATTTCTGCTGAGAGGCCCTGGCAGGTTCCTCACAGCAGCAGAGACTCACCAGACACGCTGTTGACCCCGAAGGACCAGATGCCGCTGTGGCCCACGGGGGCAGTGAAGTTGGTTCCCAAGGGCGTGGGAGTGACGGAGCCTCCCTGCCGGATCCTGGCGAGCCTCTCTGTCCCGATGGGAGGGGGCACCTTCCGATCCTGGTTGGCGTTACCCGTTTTTGGCTGGCCCAAGTTAGCAGGTGCAGAAGCAGCTGAGAGGGGTGAAGATGATCCTGAGGAAACTGATGGAATAGGAGATTCACCTGCTGAAAAGAGTATTTCTCTTGCTTAATTACACACAAAGTAGCAAGCATAAATGCCATCCCAATTATTTCCCCAATATTATCTCAAAGCAAATGATAAAATGATTTAAAGGTTTTTTCTTTTTGGCAAAGCATTCTTCAAGTCTTTCAAAGAAATTCTGTCTAGGAATTATTTTAACTCTAAAATCAACATTGTAACACAAATGCTTTCAGCCATCAGAATCATGATATTCTCATGACATAGCAGTGTTTCTAAATTAATTACAAGAAAGAATAAGAAACATGGAAGAGTTTCAGGAAGAGGTGAAAACATCAGCCAAAATACCATAAATATCTAAACAGCCTGGTTTTGGTATCCACCACTTCCAGCAGAAGAGAAATCAGACAGCTTCCCAAAGCCACAGGTGTGACCCAAGAGCATAAAGTCCCGCCAACTTCAGAAGCGTCACTGACTCTCCTTGGGAAATCCAACTTCCTTTGAGCACTCATTTAAACATTTTGGTTCTTAAACACAGAGTGGCAATGAAGTTGCATGCAGTGACATGAAAAACCTCTTCAGCTAAGATTCTGAATCAAAACCCCATATTTTCTGTAAAGCTACTTCCATGTTCTTTCCATTAGGAGGAAAACCCACTGTTACCTTGGATGATGCTTAGAGATTTTGAAACATTTTAAGTGTAATTCCAGATCCCAATTAAAAAAAAAAAAAAAAAAAGAAAGAAAAAAAAAAAAAAAGGCAAGTATAACTTCAAACTATGGCAAACATGACATTTACATCTAATATTGCACTCATACTACTTAGAGGGGAATCTTTAGCTTGGCATAATCACCTCCACTCCCCCACAGCTTCATGCCCTCTCTTCTCAAGAGCCTACAATGACTCATTTTTTTGCCCAAATACACCTTTAGTAATGCTACCAGAACAAGTGGCATGGGAAAAACCCCACAAAATAGCACAGCTTGGGATTTGCACGCCATCCTCACAGCTGCTAAAAGCAATTGGAAAGCATTTTTTGCATTACTGGGTAAGTTCCCCTCAAGTTAGAAATCTACTAAAGACAATAGCTATGAATTTATAGTTAACTAAGACAGACCCATGAAGTTCCTACATGAATTTGTTGCGCTTGTCCAAGGATGTGGTGAAAAATGCTGTCTGTTAAAGCTGGGAGTCCCAACAGGCGCTGGCCCTTGAAGGTAAACCCGTGCTCCTTGTATGTTTGCTGAAAAGCCTGTCAAAGGACCTGAAGAAGAAGTTGTAGAGCTGTTGGATGGATCTAGAGAGGGTAAGCCTGAAATAAACATAAATTTGATTAAATATCTCTCTTTGGGAACCTGCTTCAAAGCACCAGAGAAAGCTAGTGCTCCAAATATAATTAAAGCATCTCATCACCTTTTGGGGGCATCTGCACATGGTAAGGTCATTTTACAGGTGCACGATTCTCCCTTAGAAACCGCAGAGGCATTTCTGGAGGCTCTCTGGTTTGGCCTCAAGTTTTAACAAAAACAGCCATCCCTTTGGTCATTAAAAGAAAATGATCTTAGCAGGGAGGGCAGAGCAGGAAAGCTGGGACTGGCCACGATCTTTGCTTACAAAAAAGCCACACAAATCCAACAGGATCTGGGGCTCTGTGAAAGTCCCAGGGGAATCCAGCACCAGGGAAGCAGTTCTCTGTAGGATGGGCTTTGCCATCCCACAGGTACCTTCATGTAGAGATCAGTCAGAGCACGCTGTGGCCACAGACAGGGCTGGTGTGGCACAAGCACCACAGGGGAAGGGGCTGCTTCCTCCAGGGATGTGTGAGAGGAAGAGAGAGATGGAGAAAGAGTTTGAAGTCCCACAAAAATTACTGGCAAGGGTGAATTACAGTTTTTTTTAAATAAGCCAAAGCTTTTAAGTACTTTTCCAAGATGTCATAAAAGCTCTTATCACACGTTATTACCTGAAAGCAGAAATGGGCATGGCCATATGTGCACCTGAGTTTAGGGTTTAGTTTCAAGGGCCTATTATAAACAAGATTCGTTTCAAAACCATTTAAACGTTTCAAAATGACCACAACCAGGACCAGCCTATGTTGCTGCTGAGTGAGGTTGAAGGTTTTATCTACACACACCCCACCACAAACAGCAGTGCTGCCAGGCAGTACCTTAGGTCAGAAACTAGAAGGGCACCTCTCAGTGCCTGGATAGTTCCAGGTTGTGTCCCCCAGTATTATCAACCAAGTCAACCTGATTTACTCCTTCCAGAAGTGCCAGATCCAACCTGCTCACATGGACAGAAATGTTTTCTTGGAGTTGAAGGAGGTATTTTTCTCACTAGCCCAAAGGTTAAAAAGAAAAGTCTCCCTTACAGCCAAGGAGCAACACATTCCCCTGCTGCTGGAACATGGGGTGCTCAGCTGAGGGACCCCCAGCACGGGAGGACAGTCTTCCTGGGTTTGTCACAGCACAAACTCCATGGCTCTGAGGAGGATGCCAGCACCTGTGACTGCAGTGTGGTTGAGCTGAGTTTGTCTGGAGTTGCAGCCTGGCTCCAGCATGGAGCTCAGGCACAGCAGGGCCTGCAGCCCAGAGCCCTCCCTGGGCATCTCCTGTGGAGCCACTGACCGGACACTCCAGCACAAACCTGGCAGCCAAAAGGCCCCTGTGGGGACCAATTCCACCAGGCACCAAAACACAAGGTGCCAGCTGCCTGGCAAACCACACGAGACCTGCCCCAGACAGAAGGGTAGCAGAGCTGCTGGGTTCCCAGACAGAGAACAAGGCAGGGATCGTGACAAAAGCAGCTCTCCTGCAGGACAGGAATGCCCAGCTGTCTTCTGATGGCTGAGTAGCTGATGAGTAAACAGCTTTTGGATACACAGCTTGTAAAGTGCAATGTCTGGACAGTCAAGACCACTTCAGCACTGCTGGATATGCTCCATGGGCTGAAGGGAGCCTGACACACAGAGATGCACAAATTCAGGAGTCAGGTCACAAAGAACAATTTTTAACATTATCATGTCTTTTATAAAAGTGAATGAAAAACTTTGCTCAATATTAAAAATGGCTATTATGAACAGTAACTTACCAAACCCTGACTGCAAGAATGAGCTTCCTTTTTTTTTGTACTTACCAACAAAATCAGGTTTTCTAATACTAAAATCTTCTGCAATACCACACTCTGCACTTAATTGGGCTCAAACTCCTCATTGTGCTCTGAATGTATAACTGAGCTTTTGAGAGGAGTGTACTAATCTCACACAAACTCTGCTCAAAATTCAGTTTATCAAAGACCCCAGGCAGATGCTGGTTAGTGCAATATTACCTGCACCTTTAGGGAAAGAGCCAAAACACTTGGTCAGTCTGTGTGAAACAGAGTCCAACCATTCATGGAGTTCCATACTCATGTGCTGCTTCCTAAGCTGGCATATTTCAAGTTTGTGACCCCTTTTAAAAACCAAGGTCTCAATCTCCTTAAAATGCAGAGGACAGAAGTAAGAAGCAGATTTCTTTTGGTCTTCTCCACAGCCTCCTCTCATGGCTGGGCTAAGCCTGCCCTCAACTGCAAACTGCCAGGACAAGAGACCTAAAAATGTGAGACAAATAGGCCAGTTCCAGAATGGATCCACAGCCAGTGAGATCTGCAGAGATATCTGTGCCTCAAAGGACCTGGTGAATCAGAGAGAACTCGACCTGCAGCTGAGCTCACCCATGAATAGGAAAAGCAGACTACCCAAACTCCACTCTGAGGTGAGAACTTGCTAAGAAAAAGCTGGTTTTGTGCACAGCCAAACTATATTAAATCTTCACCATCAGTTTAGAGGCGATTCCCTTAGAAATGTTGATTTGTGGAAAAATTTGCTATGGGCCAACTGTGCAAGAGAGGCACAAAATGCAAACCTCTGCTCCCTCAGGTGTAGTCACAGCTGAGATCAGAGGATGGGTGTCCACCTGCTCCAAGGCCATTCCCAATCCCTCTGACCATATGGATTTGCCAGGCCAGGTCTTGGCTGCTCCCTGTCCATTGTGCTGCTGCTGGCCAGAGCATGAGCAGCAATCAGCCCTTCTCCCCCTCCTCAAAATCTCATGAACATGTCACCAAGCCCTGTGGAAACAGCCATGGAAGTCCTCAGTTCTGCCAACCTTGGAGGCTGAGGGCAAGGTCAATTCCCCTGGGACAAGCTGGTGAATGAGAGGTGCACAGACCATACTTGGCTCTGAGGGAAGGCAACAGAGAAGTCCTCAGCCTACTGTACTCACTCCTTTCTATCACACCTTCCAAACATCCTCAAGCTCCCTTAACCCCCCTAATTCCTGGGACATCTAGATTCTGAAACAAAGGTGATCAAAAGTAGCATGAAGTAAAATGACATTAAATGAATCAACTAAGGACCTGACTAATCAGTCACCTCCTGCCAGACACAATTTTAGCAACACACTACCTATTTGCAGTGTTTCTTCACTTTGCAATATCCTAATCAAATCCTAACTCAGGAAAAGTGTGTTCTGTCCAAATATTTTTGAGCTTCAGTCGAGAACTTCACACATATCTCCCCCAAAGTCAACTGTGTGACCTTTCCTTGACTATCTACCTAACTTTTCTAAGGGCAGAAACAGATTTACACTGTTTTTTAAATACTTACAGTCACTTAAGGATATATATATATATAAGGATATATATAAAAGGATATATAAAGTAGAAATACAATAAATTTTCCCCTATCACAAACAGATGATCTTAACATAAGGGAACAGCAAAATCCTTTGCTGCTGTGGGAAGTCTCAGTCACCCATGTTTGCACATGCAGGATGCAACTGTTAGGGAAATCAGCACATCCCATTTGCCCTAAGTTTCCTCTCCCAGGAATTATTTCAGCAACAGCCAACCCCAGAGTTCAGAGCACTGCAGAGGAAAAGCTGAGCCACTGTCAAGTGGTTGTGGAGCCTGCTGGGGGTCTGGAAGCTCTTCCAGTTACTGTATCTTACACATGTGGTTCTGCTTGCTACACTGAGGTTAGATGTGGCACAGAGTTCTTTCTAGGTGTGCCCTCCCTCTGCAGAGGGATTATCCAGCCCAAATTTAACACTTGAGATAACTGCAGGCATAGCAAACACCCCATTCTTGTGGTTAAAGCCAGTCAGAGAGAAGTGTTCTGGTTTGCAGAAGTCTTGCACATTTGTCAAGGACAATTTGAGAGGAAAGGGAATGCTGAAGATCTTTCCTTACCATCAGATCTTCCAAATGCTCCCTTCTCCTTTAATCTGAAAGTCAAACTACCTCAATTTGTCCCAGCCCAGCATTCAAATCCTGAAGCTTTAGTCCAAATACCCAACACACACTGTGTGAAGGATAACCCCAGAGCAAGGCTCTCCAGACACCCAGCTCCAGGGCACCCCACAGCCACCACAGCAAGGACAAAGGGGTGGCACAGAACAGATTTTTTGAGGGTCCCTTCCAACCAAATGGGTGCAGTTGGTTGTCTGCAACATAGTTTGAACATTGAGAAGATAGAAATCCTGCAGGTAGAGCACAGCAAGGGCATGAAGCTCAATGTCAGTGTTCTTAACCCATTTCAAACAAATCCAGATGTGCAAGTACTGCTATACTGAACTTCTGAATAAAACACCCCACGCAGTAGCACACCAACAAGCTTATTAAAACCCTAGAGCCATATCAAGAGCCAAAAGGCACAGAGAGTTTACTCTCACTGAGTCAAGCTGGAGTCTCACATACAATATGGAGCACCTACATGCAGTCACTGCTGCAGCTGGAACCTCCAGGAGTCCTCAGCTTTGGTGTCACCCCACACTGTGCTCCATTCCAACCCCAAACCTAAAATCAATGCTATGCTACAAGCAGGTGGGAGCATTCCTGTCTCACACAGAGGACAAACAATGCAACATCTGCAATCTCCCCAACACCTAACAGCCTAGAAGAGCTGAAAAAAAAAAAAAATCAACATTTTAAAGGGCACTCAGAAAAAAGAGGCCATCCTCATTACATGAGCATTCACCAACTCCATGAGTCATTTGCAGACTACTCCTCCATCAGTATGATGGTCAAAGTGCAATGGCTGAAGAAATAATTTTGTCCAGAACATGATCTTAATGACTTACCTACAGGACTAGTTGAAACCCGTTGGGAAGGTGGCCTGAAACCAGGAGCCTTGGAGTTGTCGGGATGGACGTTTTCCACATGTCCTAGCACAGAGTTATTCAGAAAGGTAGACTGAACAGTGAAAGATGGGTCAGCTGCTGCTCGGGTAGAGAGTGGACAGTCTCCCCATGCTTGGTTAGCTGGCACCTGGTTGCTATCAAAAAGACTACTAAAGTGATTGAAGAGCGTTGCTGGCCCAAAGGCAGGAGGCAATGATTTGTTTGCTGGGTTAATGTGCATCTGAGAACCGTTCATAACGTTCATGGCTGACGAAAGCTGCACTGCAGCAGGTGGACCTTGAGAAGGTGTTAAAGGAACTTGATTCGTAACAAAAATAGACTGAGGATCTTGATGGAGGTTTGCATTTGGTACCACTGAATAGAAAGAACCTCTGGACTGCATCCTGTGAGTAACTCGAGGTGCTGGTACAGCTACTTGAGGTAAGTTACTGTTGTCCTGATTATCTGCAACAACTGACCTGGGCGACGCTAAGCTTAAAGGAGCAGATTCTGAGCTGGATGAAAAAGGCATCGACATGGAAGGGCTGATCTCAGACATGCTGGTTGGCAGTATCTCATCTTGGGCGCCGCTGAGCGGTGCAGGGCTGCTCGCCGGGCGTGTTTCGGTGCCCCCTGAGCTGCTGCTGGCTGACACACTGCAACTGCTCGCGGCTGAAGCTGGTGGGCACGCGCTTGTGGGAGGCTGCTCGGGGGTCGCCACCTTCTCCTTGGGGGCGGAGCCAGCCGAGAACGAGTCTGCTTTCAGGGCAGAATGCTGCGCTTGCGGAGCAGTAGATGGCAGAAACGCCGTGGGCACTTGCCCGTTGTTTGGGGGGGCAGAGGAAGCTGAGGGCAGAGTGCTACAGGTGCTCGTCACAGTTGAGATGGCTGTTGCTGCAGCGCTCGTCTTGGGGACGCAGGCGAAGAGCTGCTTCCTGACCGAGGAGGGAGTCCGGTTACTGGTCACACCCAGAGGCTGGGTGGAAGCAGCTACAGACGAGGCGGTAACGGGACAACTGGACGTAGCCAAGCCAGGAGACTCCGTCTGCAGAACGTTTCCATTCTGGCTACCTACACGGCTCGAGCTATTATGCTTTGGAGAGCTGTTCGTGCTGCCAGGGTTAACTGGTCTCACTGGGAATGGTCCCCAAGTGTTCGGTGAAGGTGAAAAGGTTCCTCCAAACTGGGCCATAGGTAAGCGAGGGTGCCGGATCTGTTGCATAGTTTGGGCAGCCAGCAAGGCAAAATGAGGGTGAGAATAAGCGAGAGGAAGAGACACCGGAAAAGATGAGCGCACGTTTGCTGGGACATTCTTGTTCAATTTGTTAGGAGGCTGGAAAGTAGATAGTGTTGATGACTGCGACGTGACCAGGGGCGGCGCTCCGAGAGGAAAGGAGTTCTTGTTGGAAGCAGTCGCAGTGCTGACTCCAGATGAAAAGTTTGTGTGGATTGATTTGGTACTCGAAGCAGGTGTTCTTATATGAGTTTTAGGAATCAAGTCTTCCAGTTCCTTGGCAGGATCTTGAATAAGGGCATTGATGAGTTGCACTGCGTATCGCGTGGACTCTGTACCACCCCTAGATTAAACACAAACAGATTTATCTTTTGCAAAGGAAATCTCACTTTGCGCAATGTTCCATAGCTTCAATCATACACTGATCTCTAAGTCTATTGTAAGTTTACTGCAGTAAATTATTTCTTGACTTCTGTGTGTCTTAAGGATTATCTCTGAAGTCTACTGTCAGCATATCTTAGCAGCAGGAATGTATGTTCTATTCTAGAACAAAGAAGCTAAATAGATCCTGCCTTAGAAAGCAAACACACTTTTCAGTAAATGACACTGTGGACTAACTCAAGACTTTCATTTTGAGATACTGTACCTTATAGTGATCATTCTCTCTCCATTCTTATCTTTTTGCTTATCCACATCAATGTGGGCACCAGTGACATCTTGAATTGCTGTGATGTTGCACCCACCTCTTCCCATTATTCTAGATACGACAGAAGCTGGGACTGATAATTTCTTTGACCTATATCACAAAGATCAGAAATCTGTGAAATGCATTCAGACTTCAAAGACAGAAAAAATCCCTCTGCTGTCTAACAATGGCTGAAGTAATACTCTTAAGGGCAGAAAGTTGTTTTCTGCTGATCCTTTCTTCACCCTTTGGAGCCTCTCTCGAAGTCCCCCACTCAAATTACTCGTCATCCTCAGTACCTGACAAGGATTCTCCAGTAGAATTTATTCCCCCATTATTGTAACACAGATACATAAGCCTCACATTATTTCAGAAACCCTTCTGGATTTTATCTTATCTTGGGCACCTCTCCAAAGTGAGACAAATCCTTAGCTTATCAACCTGAATTTACACAAGCAGCACTGCTTCAAATACAAAAGCCCATGGCTTAACTATTTTGATTGTTTATAGCAAGGAGAAAGCAGCTTTCCAGGGTTTTTCCAGTGATGAGCTCTGTAATACCACCTGCATCCACAGCCTTTTAGTATCCACCTCTTTCAGACCTCAAGATCTGGAAGTGCAGTGTCACCAATAAACAGTGGTGGGTGAAAGCAGCTGAAGGTGTGCAGTGCTGTGATTTAGGACTTGCAGGCTCACTGTCAGGCCACAATGCTGTCACCAAGTCAGTTCAGGGTTTTCCTGATTCACATGGTACTGGTGGGTCAGAGCAAGCACACGGGAAGTTCTGAACACAAGCCCTGCTTGCACACAGACCTCAGCTGAAGTCCCTGGGCCACCACTGTCCACAGACTTTAGGGTGGGTTGGACCTCTTTCACCCGTAAGCTGCTTTCAGCCTTGCTACTGATGTGCACTGGCTTGATGCTGAACAATTAGAGGGGATTCAAAGGGGTTTCAGCAATCACAGCAGTCACAGGTCCCCACCACCCTGTGGAAAGGCTGCCAGCTTCACCTAGCTATTCCAGTCTTGGAAACTTGTAAGTAACTTGATTCTCAGAGAATTGTTTGTCACTTAACAGGACTTAAAGGAAACCTGTTTAATTTTAAACATCTAAACACATGAAAATGTTCTAAAGCAACACCTCATGTGGCCAAGTTGTTTCTTCTTTTCCCCATCCCTGCCAGGACAGCACACTACAACCCTTCCCATCCCCAGAACCCCCAGTGCATGCACCCAGCTCTATCCCAAGCCTGTTTCATGCTTTGGGGTTTTTTCACCACCTCCACTTCCACAGCTCCCCTCTCAAGACAGACATCACAGTTACTCCCTCCCCAAACCAGAGCTCCATCATCACCTAAGTTTCAAGAACACCTGTATTGCTCACAGGGCTCCTGACTGCACCTTGGTCTGCTTCCACCCCAGCCCACTGGGGACCTCTGGCAACCACTCAAGAAAGCATTTCTCTTCCAGGAGAACCCACCCCAGTCCCCTCTCATCCATTATCCACAGCCATTTCCCTTCCTCCCACCCAAAGCTGATGGTTTTGACCTAGAGAAGTGTCCCAAAAAGTACCTTTTTGCTCCAGAACAGCAGCGCCCTCCTCTCTGCAGCTGAAATTGCTCAATTGGTGTTGGCTGCAGAGTGTTGCTGGGGGGAGGGTCTTTCAAAACTCTGCCCACTTGCCTGTCAGGGGCAGAAGGGATGTTTGCATTGGTTACTTTGATAGACATCCCTTCTAGCTGGGGATCAACTCACAGGGAGAGGGAAGAAGAATTCTTGTTGAGATCAGGAGAGATTTTAGCAGAGGGAGATCCCGGGCACTGCACCCACACATCTAGGGTCACCAACAACGCTCTTTGGCAGGACATGCTTCCATCAGTCAGGGCACAGCAAACACCAGTGCAGAACACTGAATGGAACGTTCCTCACGGTATTCCTCAGGAAAGAGGATAGGGCAGGTTCTGGATGCATGTCTAGAACACTGCTAAGGCCAACACAAGAGCAGACAACACCCATGTGAACTTTTGGGCTGAGCCAAAGAGACTCAAAAGCCCCAGAAGAGCAGGAGCAGCCCCAGACCAGAGGGGTCAGTGGGTCTGAGAGGTTCCTGCCTGCATCACTCCCCAAGGGGGGGCCAGGCTGCCACCACACACCCAGCAAGGCCATGTCACTTGGAGAGCCTCTTTGGTGACCACATCAAAAGGCAGAGACCAAAACAACTCTAAGAATTCAAACACATAAATTTTCATCTTAAACTGCTTTTTTAACCTTTATTAAGAACACTCTGTGGCTTCCACTAATCCAAATGCACTAAGCCCTCTGTACAATTATGTTCTTTGCACATAGCCTAAAATTCTCCAAAATTAGCACATCTAGTCATTGCCACTGCAGAACACAAAAGCAGGAGGGTTTCCCAAGTGCACCCAAAGCATCTGACACTGGTAAGTTTGTGCCGTATTCCTTTGTGATGAAGAGAACAACAAAAATCAAAGCCAGATAGATGATCATTCTAGTTCCAAGCAGTAGACAACATAAAGGTTACAGGAGAGATACTGGGTTGTTAATGGCCATACAGTAAAACCCAGTACATTTTCAAAGGAAAAGATTGCTTTACAGTAGATGTCTAAATCTCACTGTACCTCTAAGCACTCACTTTAGGGTGACACAATTTTCCACTGAATCAGTGATCAAGGTCACTGCCCAAAGTACAATGAATTTTGGCCTTGAAGGGATCATTTGCCTCTCCTCTACTCACATCCATCATGCCTTTAGTTCATGGGCAATCATCTGCTGTAGGGCTTTTCACTGCCCTCTGCTCCCTTCTCCATTTATCTTGTCCCCACATCCTTTACTCCACTGAAGTCACAGCTCTTCTTTATTTTCTCATACCAAATACAGTGTTTATGTCATGTTCACATTAAGTTAGCAAGAAGTTACTACAAATTAAGGCTGCAGCTGGTTTTCCCAGCACTGCAAGAGAAAGTGGGATAGATTCTCCTGTAATTTAATTCTTTAGTTATATAATCTTGCTGCACATTCTGTATTTGAGCATAATATACAAGCTAAAAAGCTCACAGACAGTTTTAAAACATAGTATGAAAGTATTTACCTTCTAACCACTTCTTTCCAGCCTTCTTCTCTTTTCTGGCCTCTTTTTGGACTGGTCAGATTCAGCTTTACGTTTGGAGAGGTCAGAGGCAGGGAAACAGCCTTATAAGTAGTCGACAAAGAATTCGAATGACCTTCACCATCAAGTCTGGGAACAGAAATGTGCTGATTACAAGTTGCAGAATAAAATATGACAGCATACAGTTTACATTCCTGCAGCTTAAAACTAGTAGCACAAACTGTTTCCAGAAGAACCACCTTTAACAAGGAGCCAGAAGGATGCATTTAGCTTGAACTGCACAGGACCCCGAGGCTCTGGTAGCAAACCTTGGATGAAAGGTCCAAGGCAGAAACAATTTGTTCGAAGAACAGAGACAAATCCCAATTTTTAACACTCCTAATGGGAGCCCAAAACACACACCCTCTAACCAGAAAGGTTGATGAATCCACTTATTCTGCATCTAACTTGAATCTGGGGAAAAATAAGAAAAATATCCTCTCTTTCCACTCCCAGACAAGCATCTCAATCAGTCTCACAACAGCTGTCTCACTGCCCTTCTTGATGCCCCAATGTCTGTGTTCTTATTGAAGGTGACCTCTTTGTCAGCCCAGTGTCCTGCAGATCAACCTCCCTGCCCTCTTCCTTCCCCTTAGTGCAGAAAATGGAAAGAGAAAACAAAACTATGGGGGATCAGACTTGTGTGACTGAGATGTAAAAGCAAACAAAGACTACAGACCCACATGAGATCTAAGCTTTCTGATTCAGACCAATGACCTCTTCAGAAAGTGGTGGTGTAAAAGTTATCAGCACATTCCCAGGCAACTGAATGATCTTTTGAACAATTCATGTGGCCCCTGCATGTTCCCTGAGTTCTTCTGATTCTTACCTCTGGCTCGACAAGGTTATATCAAACTGGCCATCAACCTGGCAGGTGAAATGCTCAGAGTCATCAACTTCTTCCCTCCTTAAAAGAAAGATTGCAAGTCAAAAGAGTTAATGCTGAAACCATAAAACAATCAAAAAGTAACAAAACCGCTTCTCTACTTGGATGATAAGTAAAGCTGGCACTTCCTTAGTTAATTCCCAGCACATTAACTTTAAGATCTATTCTAATGAAGCCGACAACACAACATGGATGCTTAAAAAGTGCAGAGAGAAAAGGCCATTTTGCCCAAGTAGTATTAAAAACTAGCCAACAATCCCAAAAAATCTTGTTCTTGTAAGATTTCAAAGAGGTTGTGTTCAACAAACTTAACACAGCTATGCAAATAAAGCAGCCTCAGTCTCTCTGGGCTCTGGGAACACACAGTTGACGTAGAGCTTAAGCTACAGAAAACTGACACTGGCATAGATGGAACCTTGTGAAACAACAGGAAGGAACAGAGCAGTGTCACCTTGTTGGTGTTTTGGAAGCCGAGGTGCTGTTTTTTTCTTCCTGAGAGGGGATGAGCAGTGAGGCGTAGCGCCGCTCCGAGGAGTTTGTATCCATTGTGAAGTTCAGCTCTTGGCTCTTCCCTCCACTGCTGCTTTCACTATTGCAATCTGTGCTATCCAAGTTATCTGAATCGCTGTTCCCACTCGCACCACCACCTCTTGGCTCTCCATTTATTTTATTTTTATCTGCTTTTTGCTGTGCTAGAGATATATGCTGATCTGGCAAAATTATCTGCATATTCTGAGGAGTCTCTTTTGTTTTATTTTTCTTATTTTTTCTATTTGTGCTGGGGGTAGTCACCACATTAGCTCTCTTCTTCCCAAAGGCATTTGTGAAGGTAGTTGAAGTTGCAGAAATTCCAATTGTAGTTGTAGTAGTTGCACTTGGAGGCTCTATAGGAACTTCTTGCTCCACTGAAAGAAAAGCCGTTTATATACAATCAGAACCCACAAAATAGAGAAATCAGTGCCCTCACTGAATACACTACAGCTGGTTCCTTGCTGAGCTGTCAGACTAGCACCAAATTCAGCTGTAAATCCTCCAAGAGAGAAAGACTTTTATGAACAAAGGAGGGGGTGAAAAAAAATGAGCAAAGGAGTTTTACCAGGCAGCAGCCATGCAACACTGTCAAATATGAGAGACCAGATTTCAAATTCCTTTTCCTTGATGGTTACAAGGTGGCACCCTCAAAACTACATAGTTCATAGAAACACCTGTTCTTTACCTTCATCATCATTTTCTTCTTCATCGTCATCTTCTTGCAGTTCCAAAGTTTCCTTAGGCTTGTTTTCTTCATCTTCTTCTTGTTTTCTTTTTTGTTCCTCTTTCTTCTTCTTTCGCTTTTCCTTTCTTTTCTCCCTTTTGGCTGCAAGAGCTTGTTTTCTGCTCTCCTCTCTTGACTGTGTAGGAGAAAAGAATCCATATTTAAACATTTTCACATAGACTAAATTATAATTCAGATCTTTCCTAGAAATCTGGGGGGGAAGAGAAAGGAGAGAGCACAATGAACTAGAATGGCTTTGGCACACACTGAATCATTACACAGAAATTGGACAGACCTTATGCAACAACAGGACTAGCTGGTCCCAAAACTTCTAAGGAATGATAACAAAGTAATAACCAAAACAGAAGTATTAAAAAAATATAGCTTTACTGGAAGACCAGAAAAATCTCTCATCCTCTCAATCCTTTCTCAAACATTTAATAAGGTCAGTGATATTTTTGGTGTGATGTTCACATCTTTGATTCAAAGGCCAGTACTCAATGGCTCTAATTTTAACCAGTTTTTTTCTTTTAATATATGGAATCAGTCATCTGCTGCACTGTTTGTGGACAGCAACTGATGTGTGTTTAACAAGTCCTCAACCTGGAAAACTTAATAAACTAATGTGGAACTTGTCAAAAACTGTAAAAACCTCCATTAAGAGAGCTCACTCAGGAATATGTTACTCTAAAACAATTTACAGTATTCTCAGCAAAAGGAGAAGGGGATTTTCTCCACTAGCTGCTCAAATCCCCTGAGCAGAAGTCAAAAAAATGCTTATGGACTATGATTTACACCCAGAGAAACACACCATGAGACCTGGAGACCTCCCTTACTCACATGTCCTCTGTGCTGAGGTGAGCCCAGAGTTAACTGCCTAAGGAACTATTGGTAAGTCCAAGCTTTCCTAAAAAGGACAGAGGAGTGGCTGAAGCAGAAGTCAGTTCTAATTTGCCACCCTCAGTATGTGCCTCACTTGTATGATACATTAGGGGAAGGAACACAGACACAGTCAGAGCATGAAGACTAACTGCCCCAAGAAGCACCAAGAGAAATGCAGCCTAGAGATTCACACAGTTCAAACACTGTTACACAACAACAATTATCTACTCACTTTTTCCAGGTCTAGCTCCTTCAGCAGTATAGTTGCATTTTTATTGGCTTCTGCAGCCTGCTGGTCTTTAGCTTTCACAATTGTCTCCACACACTGGTGACACTTTTTCAACAGGTCCTGAAATGCAAACTTGTCTTACTTCAACTGTAATAAACAACAGCTGAGGAGTGAGACTTGCTCTACAAACATGAGATTAACTCCTCTGTATTCATAAACATACAAACTATTTCACACAATAGGATCTAATGCTGATTTACTTTTTAAGTGCTGTATTAAAAATGAGACATGCACAAATCCCCAAATCAGATGTATGTGAGCAAACATGTACATTCAGTTTTTGAATTACCCATGGATATTTTTGCTGGAAATTCAGGCCAGGGTCTTCTCCCCAAGTCCAACTCACCTTGTCTGTGATGGTCGCTATGTAGCGCATGCACTCAATGTCTGAAGGAAACTGGTTAACTTCTTTCACCAGGAACTGAACTACTTTCACATGCCCCTAGAACACCAAAGAAAATTCCAATCTCTTGTATACAATCGTCAACATTCATCATCAAAATACAAGTTTGGTATCAATGCAAACACTGAAAATAAGCAAGAACATTTCTGCTAAGTTGCTCTTTGTGATGAGGGGCAATTCCTGCTTGCTCAGTGCTGACAGCACAGCCACTGTTTTGCTTCAAGGTGGCAAAGACAAGCTCTTCCACAAGTTATTTTTTATTTTAAGGTACAAGGACCAGAGGCAGATCTTCATGGTTATATCTCATAACAACCAAAAAACAAGACAACCCTCTTTAGACACCATTTATCACCCAATCCACTCTCCTGCCACTCATCCCATGGAGCTGACTTAAGACTGTTCAATTACAGGTTAAGTCAGATCAGGAAACGAAGCCACCTCAATGTTATCCTGGCAAGCACATTCCTCTGCCCCTGGGTATGCTGTGCAACCAAACAAAGCACCCAACTGTTGCTTCTGAAGTGATGTGAAAGCAAGGCAGTGTCAAAACAGGGGAAAGCTCAGCCCCTTTTGTTTGTCAAAAAAGCTGCACACTTATTTCCTATTTTGTTAAAGGCAAAGCAGCTTTGGTTAATAAATTCCTCTGTGATAGTTATGCTCCTTGCACCCAACACCACAAGTGATGGAACCACCCCAAAGCAATGTTCTTCCTGCCAAGAAGAAAAGGCAGTGGGTGACAGAAGAGCTGACTACAGTGTCCCATCACAAGACATTAGGAACAGGAGAAGCACAAAGGAATCAGGACAGCTTATTGCAGACTGGTATTGTGCTCATCTCCAAAGCAGGACTGAAACAAGCAGTACAGACTGCAGAAATATGGAAATCTCAAATGTTCAGTTTTTGCACAGTGTACAGCTGGAAATTATAAAGTTAACATAATTTATGGAGCAAAGTTTTTCAGCTCTCAAAAACCGGATCCTCGTGAAGTACAGTAATTATGATTTTGAAGCAGGCATTTTATCAAAGCAATGATTTTGCCATGTTATATTTGATTCTTTCAAAACCAAGCACTCAGACTCAAACGAGAGGCACTACTTTGAAAACATAAAAAGCTGGTCTCCTACCTTGCGGAATGCTGACATGAGTGGGGTAATTTTGCGGTTATCTGCAGCATCCACGTCTGCCCCTGCCTGCACAAGCAGCTGGACCACGTCGTAGTGCCCACCGTTTGCTGCCAGCCACAGCGGGGTGTTTCCTTTCTTGTTGCGGACATCAATGTGTGCCCCTCTAAAAACACAAACCCAGTGAAATGGGATGAGAAAAGGTGGAAGTCAGAGAGCAAGAACACAAAACATCAGAGTACAACTGGATATGGAGCTTTAATAACTGAAATACAATGGTAAGAAATTCTGCCCCTGAAATTTGCTGTTTCATCTGCAGGGTAGTGACACGGGGATTATTTAAACCTCCCTGACAGAAATAAACACTCATTTCATGTCACCTACTGCACCAGAAATATGCAACCAGCAACCTTTAAATTATCAGTGTGGTGACTACCCACAGGACAAAGCAACCCCTTGAGATTTTAGCAGCACACTGGTTAATGCTTGAAAAGCTCAAGAGCTGCTTGCAGGTTTTGCCCCACCAAGTGACAGTGAGGAAATGCTCACCTGGGAGTTGCTGGATTCAGACACAAACAAACTGCCCAAGCCAGACACTGTCTGCCTGCCCCTGGTCCCAGCTGCCTGCTTTGCTTAATTAACACTGCAATAGCGAGATATTCCAGGATAACACTGAAGAGCAGGGAACAGATCTAACATCCTATTTTCAAAGCTTCCCATTCTCTTTGCTCTCAGATGCACGAGGTAACGTGAACAAGAGCACCCTTGCCACAGAAGAATAGAGAACAAATGTGCCACTATTCATTAGTCATAACTGCTTTGGCTTGGAAGGGACATGAAAGCTCATTTTGTTCCAACCCCCTTGCCATGGGCGGGGAAGCCACCCACGAGATCAGGTTGCTCAGAGCCCCACCCACTCTGGCCTTAAACACTTAATGAGAAGAAATGATTTACCGATTAATGAGGAGCTCGCAGAACTTGTAGTGACCCTTATCTGCTGCAATTGTTAAAGCCGTATCTCTTGAGGAAGGCACGGGTGGGGCATTCACATCTGCTCCTTTATCAAGGAGAACCCTTCCAACTTCTGCATAGCCTCCCGAAGCTGCTTCCATCAGAGGTGTGAGACCAGTCTGTGCAAAGAGAACGAGTTACTCTGTGAAATCTGCACAATATACTGCAGATAAGACATAAATGTTTCCTACAAAGGGAAATCAGATTTTTATTTAGCTGCTTATATTTAGTTTAGGAGCCTAACTTCAAGCAGTCTCTTCCTCAAAAAAGACCCCAAAAACCCAAACGAAAAAAACCCGGACAACAAAACAAAACACCCACACACAAACCAACCAAACAAAACCAACCCAAAACCCAAACACTCTTGGGCTTTGATTTATACAAACCCAAGCAAACTGTTGACTAAGCACCACCAGATACCTGTCTCAACAGCAAATGCAAAGTTTATAACAAGATCTCTACAACAGAGGTTAGAATAGATTCAAATGAAGACACAAGTGTTTCTACAAAAATACTCAGAAACTGGCTTTATAGCTTTCTCTAGCCTCCCTTGGCACTGAGACTGATCTGGGCCCAACTTAGTTGCCAGGTCAGACTGTTAAAAAAACTTACACCAGCTGCTAACATGCCCAACTGACCATTTGAGAGCTGGCTTTTATCCATATCCCCTTTTCTCCAGCCACAGTCATTCCAGAAGCAGGCGGGGTAGACAGACACAGCAATTATTTCAGCAGCCTTAGGAGTTACCAAAAATTCCTTTGTGCTGGGGAAATCAGTCTGGCTGTCTACACAAGCTTTAAGCTTGCTTTATGGCAGGAGACACAAAGCTGTCCCAGAGCACCAAAGGATGGGACCTGTGGAGCATTTCAGAGGCACAGAAGGTCACAGTACTGAAGCCACGGGTTCTACAGCAACGTAAAAGCTTTACAAAGTTTGACTGCACTACTTCGGTTGTAGACAAGAAGTCTGTTCTATATGAGAATCACAAGCAACACTATTCTCTTCCTGCCTAGACTTCACTTGCATGTAAAAATATCTGTATCTGTTCTGAGTATCATGTCAAGTTTAAACCTGAAAAAGTCTAGACAAGAGTCAATCTAAGTTTCATTATAAACTCAGAAGGACCGGTCAGCTTTTCCCTAATGCAAAAAATACATCATCACTGATGCTTTTTTATTTTTTAAAAGAAACCACACTTATTTCAGAACATTTAAGTGCTCTGATGTTATAACTCCTCTGAGCCCAGAGAGGCTCAAAGTTACAGGAAAATTTGAAGAAACTTGATGACTCAGAGGCAATAAGTCTTAAGGAAAGGCAAATCCCCCACTTACCTTTGCCCTGTGCTCGACATTGGCCTTCCTGTCCAAAAGCAGACTGACCACCTCTGCCCGGCCCTGGAAGCAGGCCAGGGTGAGGGCTGTGTTGCGGTTGGTCTCGATTTGGGCGTTAATATCAGAGCCCATATCAAGCAGCAGCTTCACGGCAGGGACGTGGCCATTCATAGCAGCCAACATCAGAGGAGAAATCCCCAGCTTACTGCCAGTCCTAAGGGAAAGAAACAAACTGCAGTGCCCACGGACAAAGGAAAGCTCTGGGAAATGGAAGTGTATCCAAGAGCAACAAAATGTTTTAAGTCAGAAAGGAACATATAACCTACACAAAATATAGGACCTAAAATAGTAGCATTTTTAACTGACTAGGAGAAACCACTGGAGGAACTACATGCAATAAAGAATTGCAATTTATAAACAAGGAAAATACATTTCAGCTGTAAGATGCTCTGATGGCCAAAGCAGACATAAGCCTTAAGCTACATCTGATTTTTTGAAAGAAAAACATGCTTCTGGCACAACTGCAGCTTGAATTTCCCCTAGTTAAGAGATCTCTTGCTCTGCCTAGTGTTAGAATATATCTAAGCTTTCTTAAAACAAATATAGAGCAGGCTTAAGAGACACCGCTGTGTAAATTTGTTCCTCTGCCTGAAAAAGACATCTTCAAACAGACAGAGATGCTCTGAACACTTGGCTGCTTCCTTGACATGGTTCTATTGGAAATAGTTTGACTTCAAGTCCTCAGAATGGTGGAAAAGGGAAAGACCAAGTTTGCAAACTATAATCCCTTAAAATTTAGCTGTAAGTCAGGTGAAGTTTGTGATAAAGGACTTAAAAGCTCTAAGATAACACGAACATAGAAGATGTTATCAGTGCAAAAAGACTCTTGCAAGGAGGTCTGAAAACACCTGAGATTCCAACCTGTGCCTCAGGATGGAGCCAACAGGGAGTGCCTGTGCCACACTGCAGCTCAGCTGGTCACATGGTACATTACCTGGAATTAATTTCTGCCCCAGCATTGAGAAGAATCTTGATGATATTAACATAGCCACCAGATGCAGCAAGGCTTAACGGCGTGTAATCAGACACATTCCTGTGTTCTTTATTTGCTCCCCGGGCCAACAGCAAATCAACAACCTGAAATGACAGGACGTGTATTAACAGACATATTGTGGCCTTTGCTATTATCCAGGGACTGAGAGCATGTTATCACAAACTTTCCAATGTGCTGCCCGTTTCTCTTGTCAACAGACAAGATTCCATAGGAAAACCTCCACCCCTCTTCTGCTTGACTTTATCTCTGTACAGCCCCCACAGCCCATGACCACAGCAGCTGAGCACTTGTCTGCCAGAAAGATTGTTTTACCTAAATAAAACTGCTGAAGTGAAGCTCTTCCTGGGAATCTTAAGTTTGCAAACAGAGATCCACCTGACTCCCATAATGTCTCACCATGTTTGAGCATCTCTTTCAGAAAAACTCATCTCACAACTTCAATTCAAATGACACTTGAGCCATGTTTGACCGTCTGTATTACATGAACTTCCCAAAAAAACCACATGTGGTAAAAATCAGAGTGACTGATGTTAATGGAACCAGAATGAGGAAGGACTCCTCTATCAGAAATTGCTTAAGAGCAAAGAATGGCAGAAAATGAAACAATTTCGGTGATGTACTTCAGTGGGCCTCAACCTACTATTAACATAAGCCAGGTGATTTCCAAACAAGCCAGAAAAAAAGGCTCCTTGCCAAGCCAGAAACATGAGGTAGATTCTGGCATAAAGGAAAAAAAAAATAGAGGGAGAACAGAAGACCTCAGTTTTCAGTATATAATGCTACTGCAGGCCATGCTGATCTTGCCTTTTATTAATAGAAACACTTTTACTGTTAATTCACAAGTAAAATGGAAACTTTCCAATTTTGGCCAACTATTTTAATCCATAAATTAATCTACTACAGAGCTTCTGGCCATCTCCATACCATCTTCTAAGGTGCTATGCACACGACTGAAATAGGAAGGATTTCACAAATCTTATTTGGAAAGCAACACACACAAATCTGACAGAGCTCTGAAAAATCCTTAGAAGACAGGTACAATGTGTCCTGCATTGCATCTGCACTTATCAGCCCTGTGCATTATCACTAAGGCCATGTACTGCCCACACAAAATCCCAGTTTCTGTCCTTGTGTGCCTGCCCTGGCTGTTTCAGGTTTGAGAAAAGGCAAGATGGATAAGGGAAGTGCTCAGTGAATAAAGTTGTTCAATAAATATCTGCCTCCCTCACAGAACTACTTACCATGTGAGGATACACTGACTGAAGAAAGACCACAAGTTATCACAAGTGACCATGACCATTAACTAACAAAACTGGGATAGGCAAGGGAGAGAAGAAAAAAAGTCTTAAATTTCTTCCTTTCTTGGAAGAGGAAAAAACCTTAAATTAGCTACACTGAAACAGGTGAAAAACTGTCCAGAAAAAAAGTAAGATGTATCAACAACAGAAGAAACCCAACACTGTACAAAAAATCCCCCATCTGCAAGTAACAAGTCAAGCCCTTTGAGGACATGTCTGTACCTCCTGGCGTCCACCGGAGCATGCCAAGGAAAGCGGAGTGTCCTTTGTGCGCTCCGACTGTGCTTCTATATCCCCACCTTTGTCCAGAAGAATTTCCACAACACCAACATGTCCAGCAGTTGCAGCCAGAATCAAAGGTGTAAAACCTAGTAACATGAGATGGCATTAAAAAGCAACCTTGAGTATCTCAAAAGTATTTTTAAGGAACACAAGTGCACAAATGGGTTGATTCACAATGACTTCTATTAATCATGTCTCTTCCTCAGACTGAGGGTTTCCTGCTGGTTCCCACAATCTCAGAGCCGTTCACAACCCTCTTCTGACCCTGTCACAGCAAGGCTCTGATTCCAGCCAAAGGCTGTTCAAAAGAAATTTAAACAGTGCTTGCAGTGATCACTTTGGATTAAGTTTTGATCAACTCCTCTCCTTGGAGAAGTCACGGCTTTCTGCATAACTACTGTTAAATTAAGCTCCAACCAGTGACCACATCTGCCCTGCATGTGTCACTGACAGCCAGTGGTCAATGTGAGCTCCAAAACACGTGGAGTGGTGATTTGAGTGGTTCTCTCAGCTCTAAAAGATGAGAGATTTTGCTGAACTCTGAACTCTGTTCCTGAGAACAATGATACCCTGCCTGACAGCTGCCACCACTCAGCTCAGACAGCCAAGATTGGCTGGTTACCCCCATCAGTTCCTCTATCCAGCTTGCTGAGGTCATTTGCAGTGCGTGAGTCCTAGGGACAGAAACATTTCACAAATCTGCTTAAGATCCCACTCAGGTTCAGACAGAAGCTCACTGGCTTTGTATGACCAATGTTACCACGTGAGGTGCAAGAAGACAGTTCACATTTTGAAATTCACTGTTTCAAGCTGTAGTTCACAGTCAAGTTGTGTTATGGCTTTCACTTACCCTTCTTGTCTCTGTGTTCAATATTGGCACCACGGGCGATCAGCACAGACACAAGCTCCTCGTGCCCTCCCGCACACGCCAGGGTCAGCGCAGTGTCGTGATTACTTTCAGTCTTCACACACAGGAAAGAAAAAAACCCACAGATGTTCAGAAATAAAAAATAAAGACAACTTTAATATTTCTCCAACAGTACTAGATTTTTTCTCTTTTTTTAAGAGAGCAAATGCACTCCAAGCTAACGTTGATTACTCACATGTGCATCGATGTCCACTGATGGATACATGGGGAGCACGGATTGTGGGGGCACATTGCTGGCTGCCTGCGGGCAGGGCTCGGGCGTTGGGGACTCGGTAGTGTGCGAGGAGCTGGCGGAGCCGCTGGGCACTCTGCTATTCACAGCTGAAAATGAACACCAGGTTATTAATCTGCTCTTAGGAACGTCCCATTTTATATGAAAAATATTAAGTTCCAGAAAACTGCAATGGTCTAAATATCAAAACAGTAGCGGGGGAAACAAATTGAATGTTCCTAAAAACAAAAAGCAGCTTTGCGGCAGTTAAACAGTGTAAGCATCGTCTCCAAACTGTGGTGAGTTAGAAAATAATTTTATGAATTAGTCTGTATGCATTACAAGTGTGAATTATGAAGGTGATTAGTTACCCTTTTCTAATTGTAACCTTCACTGTTAAAAAGAGTTCAATCATATGCTCAGTTGAAGCAGGCAAATTATTTATCAGTAACACACAAACCTAATGTTCAAAAACATAGTCTTATTGTGCAATCCCAATTTTTTTCACATAAAGGTTAGTGCACACAGCCTCCAGAGAAAGTTTTCAGAGCAAGAGACTGACAGCAACTCACACTATTAATCATGTCTCGGAGTTAAACCAACCCAGGAGAATGGAAGGGAAGCAGACAGGAGGGGGCAGTCAACAAAAACAAGAAAGCTGAAAACTGTCTGTGCTCCCTAAAATTTATTCTGATTGATGCACAGTCTGTAAAATATGTCATCCTGAAGATCCAGTATTGCTCAGGAATGCAACTTCATCTTCTTTTTTTTTTTTTAAAAAAACAATTTAAAAAAATTATTAATTTGAATAATTGAGAATCCGATTTTTTTCCCCCTAATTTTAAATCAACAAGCAGAGAAATCTCCCTGGACATCCACTGCAGGGCCAGGACTCCAGCCTGCCTCTGTAACCTGATGAGAGTCCAAGTGGAGCCTTGATTCCCTGTAATCAGCTGGGATTACCTGCCAGGAAGGTCTAACACACCTACGCGCTGACTCCGTGTGTGCTCTAGCTTCAGTAATCCCTGCTGATAGAGCAGCTGGATTTGACAAGTATTGTCACTGCTGGATTGCCAAATGTCTCTATTGTGTAGCTGGAACACCCAGTGAGCTTTAGTAACACACAGTATTTAGCAACACTCCTGGAAGAAGCAACTAAAGGAAAACACTAACAGCTACAGGTAAGAAATAAGTAGCAGCATTTTGCTCTTGTCCAAGCATTAAGGGAAGATGAAGGATGAACTCAAACCTGTGTATGACTTAGAGAATGAATTTTGCAAACCTTTCCCAGCTCAACCTTCCTCATTGCACTGACAGATTATACACCAGCAATTACTCACAGGAAAATGGTGTAGATGGAAAAGTCACAGAAAAAGCCCCAACATGACCATTAATAACACTAATTCAGCCTATAGAGCTTTCAGTGCCTGACAAAGGAAATACAGACTAAAGCAGGGCAAGATGGGTCAGTTCCATTGGGTTCTGGAAACGTGGCAGGGAGGCTCACTGAAATTTGGGGAGGTTCCATTTTCAGTTGCACTTTTTAAGCAAAAAGTTCTTGGTGCATAGGCAAAACCAGCATTAACATTTGGGCAATGCATTTAAGCAATGAAGTACCAGATCTGAATTTCTTTTACAACCTTCATAATCAAACCAGGTTTAATATTAAAAGTTTCAAATACAAAAACTCCCACCTTCGTCTGCTCACTATGGATTATCACTTCCAGCAGCAAATGAGCATTAATTAGTGCAATGAGATTGTTTTCTTGCTTAATGCACTGAAGTGCAAGATAATAACTGGATTTATACATATTACTCCTTCCTAAATACTAACACCATATCACCTTGTTAAGTACTTATGTTAAATCAAGCTGGTCCTTCCTCATGGAAGACACTGGCTCAATTTTTTCTGCTCTTACAACTAGAGATACACATAAAACCACATGCATGTGCTGTGCATGCAGAGCAGCGTGTGCAGGGGGACTCCAATGGAGCCAGCTTAAGAGTCTTAAAGTAATATATTCAGTGTTGCTGTCACAGGTTCTACAAATGCTCTGTATTTCACAACCATGACTGAAAATATTGAAGTATTTCTTGCATACTTTAGATTTTCATCATGTGTTTGAAACATAGAAGTATGCAAAAAGCATTTCATGTGCACGGTAATAACATTAAACATGAGAGAGAACACCAAAGGCAGTAGAAATGAAGATAAACCCTGCACTGATACCCTAAAATCTGGTTTAAAATAAAATTTAACAAATATTCCTACAATATCCACCAATTAATCACCCCTTTTAAAATGCTGAATTTACAAAATGGTAGGAGTTTTCAAAATGCTATTTTTTATTTCCTCAGTGTGGTTGGAAAGCTGGGCCCATGGAGCAGCAGTGTAATTTGTGCTCTGTGGAGCAAAAAAAGCCTGAGAACTTCTACCTCCAGTTTCATGGGGCTGATTCATCTCAGCTCAAATTACACAGCGAAATACAGATTTTTAACTTGAAAATGACCTTGCAGCAATGGTTCCAACACAGCATTAACAGGGAACCTCTGTGGTACCACAGCTTAGCAGGGAAAGCAGCACTGACACTGCTTGCCCCTGGCTCCAGGGAAATACCAATTTTGTGACAGAGGTTTTAGATGTGTCCATAGTCTTCAATATTCAAAAATCTTCCTTATAGAAAAAAAATATCCTACATGTGAGAAAATCCAGGTTTCTCATGCCCTACAAAGGGTTTGCAATGTTCCAAAGGGTCTGTGCTTGTATGAGTTGGAAGCTGAATGCTGGTCTTTAAAGACATGGATGACTATTTTCAAAGTTAAGCAAAAATATCAAAGGAAACATGAGTAAAATAAAAGAAAGCAAAATTTGGTGTTTTATCCAAACACAACTCTGGAGCATTGACAGTACCTGGAGCAAGCAGCTCTGGATGAGATTTCAGCTGTAGGCTGAAACTGTGGCTACCCAACCACTGTCATGACACGAGCACTGGCGTTCAGGAATACTGGACTTAGGTTTCAGTTCCTCTTTCCTCAAAGGAACTGGGATTTTCAGGACATAGAGAATCATCCTTTTTCAAGCCTGAGCAGCCTTTCAGCCTGTCCAGGCAGCTTCTCAGTAACCTGCCACTGCAGAGGCTTTTGCATGTTGGTAACTGCAGCTCCTTCCATGGCTCACCATTCCTCGCTCCAGATTGTCCCAGTAACCAGTTTTACTCCAAACCCCAATCCTCAACACAGTAACTCAGATGTCACCTTCCAAATCCTTACCTTAAAACACCATAATTCTGTACCACCAACTACAATCTGAATGCCAGAATCAAACAACAAAGTGTCTCAGAACACACCTGAAATTTCAGTTTGGAAACATCAGCTCAAAGGACGAGAGTGGGACAGAAAAGCACACACAGTCTCTTGACTAAAAATACCAACTGAGCAAAACAAAGAGAAACAAAAATATTCCAACTAGAGACAAACCCCAGCAACATAGAAAAGCTCTTCATCTTTAATATCCTAAACCAGAAAAAAGTCTCAGTTCTGATACTACAGCTAAGAAATTTACAATGGAAAATGCAGAAGGTGAAGTGAAATGAAACTCCAAATATGCAAGACAAGAGGCTCCAAGAAACCAGATAGATACTGAGTAACAGAAATGATCGCTGTGTTCCAAATTAATTCATTGGTTTCCCACTCTAAACTGCACCAAGTCTGTCCCTTTTGTAAACCTGGTTAAAATTTTCACTGTAGTAAGTCACACCTTTAATGCACTATTAGGTGCAAGATTTTTGCAGCAGCGCATCAAAAGAAACTCCATGACAAACAAAACATTCTGGAGTGGAAAGAGCTGCTTCATATTTAGGTTTTAGCTGACTTTCCAAAAGGTACTTGGCTACTTCTATGTAGTTTTATGAAAGAGGGGATGTGTGCCATGACTCAAGGACACTTTGCACCTTGACATCCACCACCTAAACACCTCACAGCTGACACATCTTGCCAGCATAATTGTAAGATAAATACTCCATTTATGTATGTTGTTACTATAAAATTGGTCAGCAAAATAAACATTTGTATCTTCATAGAAATTGAAATTCTCCTTTACAACTGGTCCCTACTCAGGCTTGGAAAGATTTGCCTCCTACATCACAGAATCCCAGAATGGCTTGGGTTGGAAGGAATCTTAAAGCTCACCTCATTCCACCCCCTGCCATGGGCAGGGACACTTTACACTACCCCAGGGTGCTCCAAGCCCTGTACAACCTGGCCTTGGACACTTCCAGAGATCCAGGGGCATCCACAGCTTCTCTGGGCACCTGTGTCAGGTTCTCCTCATCCTCACAGGGAAGAATTTCTTCCCAATAGCCCATCTAACCCTGCCCTCTGGCAGTGGGAAGCCATTCCCTCTTGTACTACTCCTCCAGATCCTTGTCCAAAGTCCCTCTCCTGGAGCCCCTTTGAGCACTGGAAGGGGCTCTGAGGTCTCCCTGGAGCCTTCTCCAGGTGAACACCCCCAGCTCTCTCAGCCTGGTCCAGAGCAGAGGGGCTCCAGCCCTTGGAGCATCTCTGTGGCCTCCTCTGGATATCACCACTGCTAAAAGCCACAGTAAAACGTATTTCAGGGCAGAGAGAAAAATAATTTCTGTTCTTCTGAAGCAGTCCCCACCCAAACTGAAATACTCAGAAGGAATAAAAATGCTCATACCTCCTCTAAATGCAGAGTTACTCACTAAGATCACTGCAGCTCTAGCAGTGGGATCAAGGGGAGCCCTCAATGACACCCTGAGCATTGGACACAAGCTCCCTAAAACCCAGGCTTCCCATGCACCAGACACAAGGCCCTGAACTATTTTACCTGGCATCTGTAGTGGGCATGTAAAAACAGATCTTGTAACAGTTTCTATTGCTCAAAAATTCTCTAGAAAATTAAAGACTGATGGGTAAGTTTGCGGGAAAAGTGCATTTTAGATATGGATCAAAAAGCTCAAAGTATGAATAGATAAATTTACAGTTTGTTTTTGCATGGCTATAAATCTGAGATATAGTAGAATTATAATTTATGTGGAGGTCACTTTTACAGTCTGGATTTACAAAGTGAGAAAGGTATCTATCTTCTGACAAATTTTTTTAGAGGGAAGGGAAGTGAAAGAAACTTACAAATTTCAGAAGAAAATATATTTCAATAAAGCAACATCAATAAATTTTTGCAGAAGCCGCTGGAACTCAATAGCTAAAGACTCCTCAAGTTGCATTTCTGTAAATGTTTCTAATGCAGAAGAAGATGCTATTTGTAGCAATTTTTGAAATAAGTAAGTCTCATGTCTTAGCAAAAAATGTCTTTAATTACTTAGCAAAACCAGGAGCCGTTTTCAGAAAGCAAACCAATGTCTATTCAACCCTTTAAAATGATTTCTAAGATACAGTTTTTCTGGCCGTTTGCAGTCTTGTTTCCCACAGCACAGTTCTCACACTCAGCTGGACTGCAGCACTTTTCGCAGTGGGGACACTGAGTTTGTGGCTGTAGAATGAGCTGCTGACCACGAGAGGGTACAGACTCCATGGCCTTGTGCCAGACACGTTCAACTCTCAGCAACAGCAGCTACTCCAAAGATTAATCCCTTGTTGATTGTTTTGTGTTACCCATTTAAATTTTCCTCCTTATACAGTCCAGTACTAAAATTTTGAGTAATAAAAACTGAGCATGTTTTAATGCTGGCTGAGTATTCTGAAGAGCACCACAGAGCAGGAAGGGAGGCTCACTGTGCCAGAACAGGGGGAACTAAAACCGATGCTCTATAAACCGGAATTACAGTGAGGAGAGGACAGGAGTTGTTGGTACAACCTGCCCACTACTCCATCAACTCTGGGTTGCATGGGAGGTTGCAAAGTCACAAGTAATCTTGACTTGCATGAACTTGATGCAATTAGCATTCCAAAGCCTCCCAAGAATGGCTGGCCAAAGATCTCACTGCACAATTCTACAGCCTTGACATCAGAGGACACGGCAGTGACTACGAAACGGGAGGGGCAGAGGGAGACAGACAGGAAAATAACGGGCAGGGGTACAGGCACAAGGTACAAAGAAAAGTTGAAAAACACTGAATAAAAAAAAAAACTATAGACCAAACAACACTGGCTATATCCTACATACCTCCAGCAGCAAACCTCAATCCTAGTCAAGTCCACGAAACGAAGACACCCAAAGTGATCCCTGTTTCTGCACAAGGGGACTCACACAACCCGATGTGTGGGCATTCCCATTCCTCTTCACACCGTACCAACACGTGGAAGGATGTTGGGGTGTTTGCTTTTCATCCAGCTAACAGGATGGGTTTTTGCCATGTGGAACATCTAACCAGCAGATATTCCTGTACAACACCCAGGGTTTAGCAGGGATTCTGCAAACACAAGCCGTCACAGAACGGAGCGGTTGCACGCGGACTCCAGGTTGTGCTTAAGCTCCAGCAGCAAGGAGAGGGACGTGTTTGTCCATAAAAGTGACAACAATTTGGCTCTTTCTAGAGATGGCTACCACATTGAAGAAAGTCACTGATAAGCCTGCACAGAAAATTCTACAGAAGATATAAATCTGTCAGAAGATATAAATCATGCTTTTGAGTTTCCTAATGGGCACTACTAATTACTCATGATGAGGCTTTTTAAAGAAGCACAGAAAAAGATGAGGCCAAAGGGGCTAAAACAGGTGTCCAGTACAGGAAGTTTTGCACTTTGGAAAAAAAGGTATTTAAAAGTATCATGTTAGAATTGGAAGTCACTGTTAGGATTAATAGCACTAATCAGGAACTTTATTCTTAAGCAAGTATTCCCAAACTGGAAAACCCCAAGACGTGTTTGGAGGGAAGGAGAGAGAGGGAAACTGAGCACACAAATTAATGCAAAAACAGGTATATTTCTTAACCCACCTGCTATTAGGTCATCAAGAGTGTCGGTAAGCGTCTGTGCTGGAGTGGCAACCATTAATCCGTCTGGTTCTTGAACTAAGAGCCCCTGCCCAGCAATTTGCTGCTGCTGTCCTACATTCTGCTGATTCCCTAATGCTTTCTGAAGTTCAAGAGACTCTGTCCCATTATAACCTAAGTTACCAGAAAAATTACATTGCGGTGCTGGCAAAGGCTGGATAGGGACAAACTCTATTTGTTCAGCAGGTGCTGGAGACTGGTGTTGCTCATCATCTTTAGACAAGATTGTGTCAACCTGAGGTAACCCTGAAAAGTTATCCTCTGGCAGACCCTTATCGGCTTCCACTTCTGGGAAGACCCCTGTAAGTGAGCACTGCTGCTGCAGGGTAGGTGGTGTGTCTGTCTGACCTTTGGTCTCCAAATATTCTTTGGTAAACTGCTGTTGGGTTTTCATCTGCAACTGCCTTTCCACCTTCTGCAGCTCCTTCAATATTTTCTTCTTCTTCTGTACTTGTTCTTCTCTGTTCTTTTTAAGTTCTTCAATCTTATCTTTATTTAAAGGTTCACCTTGAATTAATTCCAATGATTTAAGTTGTGCTTTTTCAATAGCACTAATTCTCTGTCCAAGTTCATTCAGCTTGCCTTCAGTCTCTTCTACTATGCATTCCAAAGGCTGGTATGGGTGAAAAGGTGGCAGTAGGTCCTTATCTGCTACCTGCAGGGAACTTGACTTCTGCTTGGATGCACCTAAGCACATGAAAAATGTTTGAAAAAATGCCATGCTGAAGATACCCCAAACCTCCCCTCTCACCCACCAAAAATAATAATAATAATAAAAAAAATCAAATAAAAAAAAAATCTTTACAACTAACACCGCACATCTGTCAAAGCACAGAAAGGTAAACCCTACACTCCATGTTAAGACAAGAAAGGACAAAGCAGATAGATGGAATTTTCAATATTGGTCCTCATATCCCTTTGAGCACAGCTACTTTAATCTTACAAGGAACCTTGATAATTTCTGACATACGTGACAATGCACTTGGGAAGGGGAATCAGCAAGAACAGCAAGGCAATTTACATGATTTACTGAGTTCCCAAAGTTCTTCTGTGAGTGCAGAGCTTAAAGTAAGAGTATTTTCCGGAGGCTGACTTCCAACAGCAAGGTTAGGAGCAGAAAGACTCTATAGTTGAGAGCAGACTAACCTGACAGTAAGATGATACTTTGAATTAGGATTTCTCCAAACATTGTAGCATTCACCTTGGCATTACAAGCAGAATCCTTAGTGCTTTCAAATGGAGTGTGAAGTTTTAGCATCTTTTTAAAAATTCTGGGACCAAACTAATGACTTGCTCACTTCCCCTTCCAGTAACAAATGAACAATCCTGTTCATTATAAAGACTTAAAAAATAGCCTTCACCAAGGCCCACCAAACCTGAGCAGCCCTGCCCCAACTGCTGACTGCCCTCAAGCAACCCATGGCTGTTTTCCCAAAAGCCACATCTGGGAAATTCTAGTCACATCTTTCAGTAGAAAGGAATCTATTAAGTGCTGAAATTTTAATTAATACTTTAGTGTCAGAACTTTAATTAAAAATGTGAAAAGTTTTAGTGTGATTAGATAATTTTCTGCACTAATACTCATTTGCTTTACCCAAATACTGATATATGGAGCCTTCAAAAAGCAAAAAAAAAGAAAGAAAACTTCAAGTTTTACAAAGCAGACTCACATAATTAATCATTAAAAGGGGAAGTAAAATGATGTACAATTTAAGCCGTGGTTTAATAAAGTTACTTAAACGTGACACAGTTAAGTCAAAGTCTCGATGCAAGACCTAAATCATGAATCAGTCACCAGCTCTGGAAGGATTAAGTTTCCTGAAACAGATTTGTTTCTCTCTGGGCCATCCTTCACCAATACACTAATTCACAAACAACTTCACTTTGCATTGCTGTCCAAACAAGAGTCATATACACCTCACTTTGAAATCAATCTTTTTTGGAGGAACTAATTGTAAACCAAACAAACGTGAGATTTTTCTCTTATAAAGAGAAAGAGCAAATATGAAAATATAATCAGACCAACTCTGTACTGCACACTTTCAGCAGACTCCTAGGAAAGCAAAGCATATCTAGTTATAAGAGAAACAACAAGAATCTTATTAATCCCAGGAAACAGCCCAGAATCCCACAGTCCCTGGAGCTACCCTTCAGGATGCTCCTTCTGCAGCTCCATACTTTGTGCAGGTCAGTGGTTCCAGCTGAGCACCTCTGCCCACCACTGCTGATGCTTTGCCTCCGAAGCATAAGTGAGTCCCCAGCCAATTTCTCAGCAAACAATAAGGAATTTGGGGGAAGTTCAGCAATCCCTGGCTCTTTAGTTCAAGCCTGCTCTAACTCGTGGCCTCTTTGGTTTTGTTGTGCACTCAGGGATTATCCTTTAATTTTAACAAGTGTGGTTTACAGGTTTTTGAGACTACTCTTGAGAAATACAGTTGCACTCACCAAAAATCTCTGAACAGCTTGTCTATATTGTTGTTTTGAAACTAAGCTGTGCTCCATTGCTACAGTAAGCAAACTGCAAATGAACCCTGCCTTCAGCTGAGATGGGAACCCTCTGCCCTGCCCTGCCCAACATCACCCCTAAGGTTCCTGTGTCTATCATTCCCATCCTCACACAGGGCATTCCCACAGCCTGGTAGCTCTGGACACCTTCTATCACTCCAGGAAAGAAAATCTGCCCTTCCAAGAACCTCCCAAATAATAAAGTATCAATGTTGTCCCTCTCAATTAAGTCTGAACTGGGGAGTAAACAAGCCTGGAAAGCTTTTCTAGGAGCACAAGAGGAAGGAAAGAGCAGAAGCACAGCCCCACTTTGAGAGCTGGGCTGGGCTAGAGGAGCCAGGGCTGGGCTCAGACAGCAGCTCCAACTGGGAATCATCATGGAAAGGTGGGGCAGTTTCTGAAGATGGGTGTTAGGAGACTAGCTGGGCTCTCAAGTTCCAGAGAAGGCACAGAAATTAACATTAATCAGCTGCTAATTAGATAGCAGGGCCACTTTTCAGGTTCCAGATCACCCTTTCTATGCCAGAAAACAGCTTCAGTCTATAAGTGGAGATATTGGAAGAGGACAAGGTATAGGAAGAAAGATCTGCTAAACCTGACACGTCCACCAGAACAGTCAGGTCAAACCAGAGATGGAGAAGCTACACTGTTGGTAGCTTTGAATATGCAAATATTGGATATACTAAAAAGTAGCATTTCCTGGTTTATCCAAATCTCCTCTATATTAAAATATCCTGAAAAAATCTGTGCCCATTTTAGTACAGAATTATGAACACACAATTTACACTTTTTGAAATACATAAATACAGTAAGACTTAGAATCCAATCACAGGCCAGATCATTATCATGTCAATATTTTTTGTTTACAATTTATTTTGTACATTTATCTTTTGGGGGCAGCATCAGTCATATACACAATCATCCTACTACTGAATTACACCTAGCAACAATAAGCTGTCAATCTGACCTGTAGAGCAACTATTTTCATCACTTTTAGAAGACTTGTTTAAGAGAAAAGTAAGTTATTTAGACTGAAGATGACTGAAATCCAGATGTTGCTACACAGATACCACCTACCATCCAGTACCACGATTACAGGAAAAAAATTGATCAGGAAACCAAGAGTGGTTCTAGGCATGCTAGGAAAGCCACAGAGTAAAGAAGGGACTGACTCCCCAATTATTTTGTGATCAGTATAATCAATTACTCTTTTATTTCCATTTCCACATTCCCACAAGTTTTGCTCCCTACCCTGTCCAAACTGAGCCTTCATCACAATTCCTGCAGAGCATGCACAGATCTTTAGCCAGGTTTGTGACCAACATTTATGACTTGGGGGTAAGACCTGCTCTGCCCAAACACAGCATCCCATGCACTTCTCTGATCTCCACTTTTCTCCAGGAAGTGACAGGTGCTTCCTATGGCAATTTCCTGTACTTCTCCCTTCAGATTATCTCCCACAGACCTGAGTTCCAACAGCCCACTCACCCCAACGAGCCCCTCCCAGGCATCTTTCCTGGTCTCTTGAGCAGCCAGCAACAGGGAGAGAGGACACCATGACCAGGTTTTAATGCTTCTAGCTGCAAATAACATTTAAAGTCCCTAAACACTTTGAGCAAGAACCTGGAAAAATATCCTTCAGTTCTGTAGTCCTCAGGTGGATTTCTCAAGCAATCGAACTCTTCAGATTTAAATTTGCTTAGAACACATTCAGTATTTATACAGTTGCTGCAAACAAATAAGTCTGATACTGTATTTCCTCATGAGTGCTTATAATTCTCAAGGAAGTTGCTCCTCTAGCTCTGACTTATAATCCATAGGATGTCACTTCTCCCAGGAAAGAACTAATTTATATGCCTTTAAGTTGTATTATACTTTATATTTTACTAGACAAAATTACGAGATTTGTTAACAGTTCCTTAATTTCTATTGTCATTGTCAAATGAAAAAAAAAAAAAAAAGTGGTTTGAAATCCAAACAGTAAAGTCCAAAAGATTTTTTTCCAGCATAAAAAAAAAGGGAATAAGAAAAAAGTCAGCTGTGTGATACACATTTGTACATTCAAGTACATCTTCTCTGCTGGAGAGCCTGTTATATAAATCTGAATGAATCACCATGTCATTTATGTGCTCTGTAGCAGAATTGCTTGTCCGTTGTTCTTGCACTTGAGATTTCTTTTTGTAAATCTGATTTCACTCAGAAGTGAAGAGTTCAATTTGCAGCCTGCAATTAAAACTCACCAGCCTCATTAACATGAATAAAATTCAATGCTGAACTTTCATGAAAATTCAGTGTTTTAACAATTATTTGTATCAGTAAGAAACTCATCTCTAAGGACCTGGAGAAACAATCAGTTGCCCCATAAACACACAAATTCAAAGAACAATATTACATAATCTTGCTAATTTGGAAAAAAAAATTAAGTCTACATTTCCCAAGCAAATTCATCTACTACATGGTTTTGCATACATACTGAATTCTTCTTTATAAAGAAGAGGTTAATTGGTAGAAGGCTGAATGATGAGTTTGAGTATGTTCACAGTATCCCTCCTGGAATCATGGAGTAATTTTGCCAGTCTTTATCACTCCTGCAGTTGTTTCTATGGAAAATTGCAGAAAATAGGTGCAAGGCTATCCAACATGCAATGGCTGTTGGATACACACAGCTGAAACTAAGCCAAGCTGAACTCAATTTTCAGCCATTCAAAAATTTGAGCTACTTTCCAATCTTAAGTCTTCTTCCCAAGTTTCCTCCGGTTCATGGTATATAACTGGAAAAATTGCTAAGATGTAATTGAATTAGTTGGTGGCAAGCAGGTGACTGAAGCTTCAAAGGAACATAATTTCACAAACCACCGTGTAAAGATTGTTACACATTTGTGCTCCTGGGGACCTACACATGTCTGGGTGTCAAACCAGCTGCCTGCACTGCTGAGGACTTGCAGAAAATAAAGTCTTTATGTCTACAAAGAAAGTATTAGTAAAGTTCAGAAGTCAGGAGGCATAGATGGTGAAATCTCCCTTGGGAGCTCATCTCAGATACCTGGGCTAGTTGCTGACCCAGGCAGGAAGTTTCAAGGAGGAAATGCTAAGAATTCATCAGAAGATGGTGAAGCACATTAAACAATGAACAGGCATCTGTGCACTGTGCACTAGAAAAATGTGGTAAAAATCGGAATGCAAAAGCTGGAAAAGCAGGAATATCAATTTGCCGTACTAATGTTTTTACCTCCATGAAAGCCACGTAACTTCTTAATTTTACTGTTAATCTGGCCCCTATTTTTATTAAATCACACAACGCATGAGATCTCTGCTGGGATATATAATTCAGTATTAGGCATAGAAGTCAGGTATCAGAGTAAAAAATATTTACTGAATTTATATCTATCAAAGTTACAGACAGTTTGTTTTTCTTCCCCTTCTCCACTCCATCATATTGTTAGATTTAGCATGGAGATCCAGATATATTGAATATCTATCTGAGAAAGCTTAGAGATTCCAAAAGTAACACTCAACTTTAGGGGAACTCTGGTCTCCTTCACAGGTATAAAAGGCAAATGTGGGCAGCTTTCATCTGAATAAATCTCTTTGGTCTTGTGTAATTCTAAAGAAACCTTGCACTCCAAATAAGAACTGCTGCCCACTTTAAAATGACCCTAGGAAAGTCTAATGACAGCATGTTGACAGGTTTTAAGTACTCACTTTAGGCTAATTAGTTCATATGTAAGCACAATTTCAGCGTAAGCATGAAGTAAAATAAATCTGGGGAAAAATTTACTGAAAACCTGATACCTCATTCTCCAAAACCAGGCTACTTTGACATGTTTAAAAACAGCTGATGTTAGTAAAAATATTTTGACTAAGAAAGCAACCCTGCTGCTTTCCACAGGCTCCCTGAGCACCCCTTTTTGTCCCAGTATGTTTGATGAAGAGCGTGCTCTGTGCTCCAGCCCTGCACATTGCACAAGGCTCTGCAGGAACCATTCACTTGCATTTACAAAGTAGAGGGGATTATCATCAGCTGGTTTCCTGAAGAAATCCAGCAGCATTCCTTTGGACTGTTCCCTGAGCTGGGCTCCAAGCCCCTCTTGCAGGGAAGCAGCTGCAGGACCACGTGGAGCTGCAGCACAGCCCTGCATCAGACAGACCCTCAGGCCTGTGCAAACAGCACACTTGGGTTTTGTACCCAAAAAGCTATTTGTGCTGAGCTGCTGCTGAGCAATCCTGGCCCTGCTCAGCATGGGCAGAATCCACCAAGGAAGGGATCTCCTGTCTCTCCCTATGGAAGCAAAAAGAGCTGAACTGGGACTTCTTTTACATGGACACAACAGACACATGCTAAATAAAGTCCACTGAGAAAAATCCCTCCTAAGCAAGTAGGAGCTGAGGTCTGGTCAATCCCATAATTAACTCTGCTCCTTTTTTCACCTGATTTTTTTTTTCAGTTCTTTCCCAGTTACCATCTTGGTGTGTCAACTTTATCTAAGCCTCTCTAGATCCACTGTTGCCTCTGAAATGTTTTTCTTTTCAGTTGCTAAACACCCATATTCAATTCTTTGCCAAAGTAATTATTCAAATGGTAATGATCCCATGTGCCTCCATGCTTTACTGAAGAATAATAATAAAATTCAAAATTAGATCTAAATTCCCCTTGAAAAACCTCATGTCATATCTGAATTGTAATAGGAACACTTAAATGTGTTCAAGTTTTACATCTGACTCTCCAAGAACTCGTCAGAAAAAAAAAAGTGTAATTATTGCATTTCTTGCAAAACTCAGACAGGTCCATTAAAAAAAAAAAATCTTACTGTGCTAAGGCTAAGGAGGCCAGGTACTGCTCACCTGCCTCCCAGTAGTTCACAGCTTATAAAAAAACTCATGGGCTACTTCTAATTGAAGGCAAGTAATTGTTCTGCTCCAGATAAACAATTTTGTTATGCAAGAACTTGACTGCTCTCCTGCCTCAGGAATAACAAACACATCAATTCACCCCCTCTTTTGCCCCTCCTCTCTCAAGAAGTTTAGTGATGGAAGTCTGGTGAATTAAAGCCACGTGTGTGTAACAAGTCACAAACGGCAGTTCAGCACAGCACACCAACTCTGCACTGCAATGAGCACACAGTGTGTAGCACAAAAATACCATTTCCCCCCTAAAGATCTGAGAGACACAAAAGCTTTGCACAGAGCTTTTGGGAATGCTTCATCAGCCCGATGACACATTTGGGATTGCTGCATCTCCTGCAACGCAGCACAGATGAGTTTTGCTGACATGCATGAAGCATGTCCTGAACCCCCGTGAACAATGAGATCTCCCTGTGCCAGTCCCAACATCACAGTGCTGCAAAAAACACACCTAAGGATGTGCTGACATTGGCAATAACGTGTTTGTAATGAGAGCTGTTTCCTAAACTACAGTCAACTATTTGCTTTTCATAATTGGATTAAATAAAATGAAACTTTCAGCTTTTAACTTCAGTGTCTTCTGACTCAGCATCAACTAATCCCTTACTGATTCCCATGCACCACAAAATGTGCTCCCAGAACACTCCCACTCCGCCGTGCTCAGGCATTGAACTGGAAGGGCACACATATTGTATAATTTTGGTGGGTTATTTGAACCAGAAGTTATATATTCTTTTCATTTGTTTGGTATTCATTTTTTCTGAAATCCAAAATATCAGGTGTTGCACATCCTAGGAAATGAGACAGCAAGTGCATCTGAGAGATCACACACATGGCATATGCATGGAGAGGGGCACAGCTGCACATTCAGACACCAGCAGGTACATGATGTTTTTCTCTCTTTATTTATGCCCCTAAGGAGTTTATGCTTGTTTGTTTGCTCTGGAAATGCTCACTGCTTCCTCAAACAAAGAATTTAAGCAGATCTAGCTAACAGAGCTTTGAACACTGTGATGCTTAAGATCCCCATCCAAAACTGTAGGAGCTGCAGTTTGCAACTGCACTTGTGAATCTGCTTCTCTTTCTGAGCTGACTGAGAAGATACCAAGATTTTGTTACAGAATCCCCAGCTGGAAACAAACTCCCTAATTGCAATCTAATAACTGCAAGGAGTTATAACCAATCAGTTTGACAATGTTGAAAGCAAAAACTCTGATGTTACGATTACTCACAAGAGAACTATTACTAATACAACAAAAGCTCTTCTGTAAGTAGATCTGCACTGGTATTTTATAGTGCCATCATGTTTCCATTGCTACTGATGGAACAGAAAAAAGTTGGTGCAACAAGTTCATGGATAATAGCTGCAACTATTCTAGAAGACAAATCCAATGTACAATATTCAAAAGTGAACACCACACCTAGAGTACATTAACTTTTTTATCTGTCTGCACTAGAACAGTTAGCACAAGCATTTTCTTCCATAAAAAACGGAATAAGTATAATTCTAACAAATTAGAATAAGCATAATAAGGTTAGAACAACCAATGCTGCTATACTGTAGAATGCAAGAAAATAAGGAAAAAAATATGAACTATATAAAATAGTTTTAAGTTGTACTTGAAGTGTTCAAAAACTGATGGAATGGACTACACTGTTCATAAGCTCTAATAAAATGGTCCCCCATGTCTATCCATTTCCAAATCATATATATTCTCTGAGTGGCTACATACTGACCTTTCACCACTCCCAAGAGAGGTGGGGAGTTCTCTTGAGGGGTCCTGTCAGGCTCCTGGGGAGGTACAACCATAGCGAGCGTATGCACCGGGACACGGGGAACCTTAAAAGAAAGGCACAGACACATGCTCAGGGAAAAGCACCTTGTGGCAGACCAGATCTTCAAGTGTTAATACAGATGTACAGAACTACAGCATATCTTGTTCACTCTTCTCAAACTGTGTATTCTGTGCAACCTCTTGGTAAACCACTTGCTTTTTTCCTGGGGACAATATGTCAAAATTAACTGTACTCTGTGCAAGATCCAAGGCTGTGCTGGCTGGAAAACTGTTAATTCCATTAGGCTTTTAATCAGCCAACTACCCTGGAGCTGCAGAATTCTGAATTTACACAACGTATTTCTTTTATATAACAGAATCACTAACACCATGTGAGGGCTACTACCACAAGCCTTTAGTACTGTTGAACCAAAATATCGAGAAAATGCAGCAAAGAAAACAACACCCTTTTGAAATCCTAGGTTTGGGACTGTCCTGTCTAGGGAGCAGAAAAGGGAACAAAGCTCATATGTTCTTCAGGTCTCTGCAGGTAGCACCAACCAATTCTCTCACTCTCTATCATTCTCATGTGTGCAGGGTTTTTAAAAATTCCTACCACTGTCTATGTTCATTTTGACATTAACTACTACACAAGTGTTTCTTCCCAACATTGATGGTGCTATTTAAAAGAAACTCCTTATGCCTTACCTGAGACTGATCCTGAGATGGAGGTGTGAGCTGGGACAAGTCTGCTGCAGGAACCGACAGAACATTGTTTGGGTAATCCAGCAAGTAAGAAACAACATTTGTGTGTCCTCCCTTGGCAGCTTCAATGAGCATCGTTGAGCCATCCTGAAGTGAGATTTTGGAAACAAAAAGCCACGAGATGAGTTTTGCTCCCTGGTGTAGCATCTCCATGTAAGATACAATTCTATGACTTAAATTTACTATTTCATAAGTCAGCCAGGTAGTTCTTTCAGAACCTATGAAACATGACATCTGCAAGTGAATACCTTGAGCCGATGAGTAGGATCTGCCCCGTGAGCCAGGAGAAGCTCAACCACGGCCAGGTGACCTCCAGCACAGGCCAGGGACACCACTGTGTGATCATTGTTGGCTGTAGCCCTGTTCACATTGGCACCTAGTAAGAGATGAGTTTAGAATTAAACACAAAGAAATTCCTTCTAAAAGAAAATATCAACAAGTACAGTATTTTGTGGAATACAAACTTTAATCCAATTACTTCCTACACACTCCTAAGGAAAGAGCAAAAGGGATTTTGACTAACTGATTGGCTTCTACACATCCTCCTCCTCACTTTGTAAAGACAAGGCAGTTGCAACAGCAACAGTGGGCTTGTAAGTGTTAAGTGAGGGAACACATGCTGTAAGAAGCACAATTCCAAATGTTCACTCTGAGCAGCATCACTACGTGGTGCAGTTGCTACTGTTTCAGACAGTACTTGATGTGCTTTTCTGAAGGAGGAAGTACTTTTTTTAAGAAACTGAAAATATCTGCTGTACTTCAAATCTAATCTATACAACAGAGTAGGAAGTGTAACTAGTAAAATATTTTGTAATTCATTCTATCGTGAACTACATGAAATTTCATAAAACCCTTAAGGGTTTGAAAAATGCACAAATACATATAACCAGAATAATTTTGAATATGAATCACAAACATGTGGCAATGTAAAGTGGCATTTTAAGCTTTTTAATTAGTTATGAAAACTAGCATTTACCTTTGCTAATAAGGAATTGCACAGTGCATAAGTGACCAGCTCGTGCAGCCTTCATTAGTGGGGTTCTCCCACCTTCAGATTCATGCTCCTAGAGAAGAAATAACAGATGTATAAAGGCAAAAATTGTACCATTCTTTCAGCTTCTTAAGTATCTTGTGATGGGATCAGAATTACCCATCTGAGTAGATGATTTATCTCACAAGCAGCTTGTAAAAAACTGACTGGTGTCAATTTTCATGCTACCTAAAATACTAAACCACACTGTTAAAAAGGATTAGGATCACATTCATACTGGTATCACACCAAGAAGCTTTCATAATTACAACCCCCTTTTTATTTTAGTGTTCAAATGCATAACATACATGAGAACAGTAAAACCTTGCTTCCTCCTCTGAAAGGGGGGAAGGTTTAACACAAATGTCACCCTGGATCAGGAAGTTTGCAATAACCACAAACTGCAGTACCACAGTTCAGAGAGCTGCCATGTGCTGCCAGACCTCAAAACTGCACTGATGCCTTAAGTGCACACATTTATAAAACATTCTGAAGAGGATCAGAAATAAAAATGAGACAAATCACTGCAGGTCACCAGAAGTCTCTAAGAGGACTGGGGAATAAAGCAGAAAGCTGACAAAAGGATGATACAAACCAACAAAAAATGAATGAGCATTAAGAATAATTTTCTAATTTAAAAAGTTTCTGAATACTGGAAAGATGTGGTTGAATACAACTGTATTAGAGCAGTTACAGAACTAGACAATGTGCCTGCTATGTAGACATGATCAATACCACAAAGAATGCTGAGCAATGATATCAAGCCACCCACAGAACAAGAGGAGACAACATCATCTTCCTGGGAGTGATGGTATGTGCACTCTGCATTCAGTAGTATTTAAATAATATTCAGTCTGATCAATAATATACTAGGAATGCATGGTTTTTAATTAAATATCTGGGAAGCCAAGCTCTGAAGTCACTCTTTACTTTGTAATTGCATGTATATCTAACAGTGAAAGTTAACATTTAGTACTGACAGCGGATGACAAGGCTACTTACAATCAGACAAGAAGAGATATGACAGAACAACTCAATTCCTTCCTTCATAGTTTCTGTATTCCTGAAAACTCTGCATATGTCCTTTGACATATGGCTTGCTTTGGTTGCAAGTTGCATGTTATGTTAGTTTTCTGTTAATGTATTTGAAGAAACCTCTTGACTGGATCTTCTGTTGGAGACTGGCCCCAAATCCAAGCCCATCCTTCACTGTAAGAGGTTACATTGCTCCTCTCCTGGCTCTGCTCCTCAGCCTTCACAAGAGCTGTGTGTTACTGTCCACCACTGCTTCAACACATTAGAGCTCTGATTTCTTTGCTTATTCAGTAGTTCAACACACAAGCACACACAGGCAGTCAGCAAACCTTACAGACTTATTACTGAAGCCACTTTTTTTGTTAATTAGATTCCCCTCCCAGGGCAATGGCTGCTTAGATGTCAGTAAATACTTGCTTCTGGACTGTCTGCATGGCAGAAACATTTTCAGGACATGTAAAGCTAATTTTGTTAACATGTGGCTCTATGATTGCAAGAATCAGTTGTGTGTCCTTGAGTCCTGGTGCTTACTCTGGTATTTGGCAGAGCCACTCTTCCTCAGCCACTGTCAAGAGATCCTAAAAAGCCAGAACCTGCTGTGTGCCTGAAGAACAGTTCCACCAGCACATCACTCCCAAAGCAGCTGTGGATGTGGACAATTCCTGATCACCACTCTGCTCTGAGCAGGACCTGGACACTGCTGCTGAACTATTTCACACCTAGTTCTAAATCCTCATTGATGCAAAGATGGCAAGATGCAAAATTTATTTTAAGTCACTAGCTACATATTCAAGGTAGTGAAAAGCATCCTATATTGCACTGAGATGTAGCAGATAGCTGGCAGTAAGGTGTAATTATTTGCAACATTCTGCCTTTCTAACAGACTTCACTGTTGGAAGTCTCAAACACGGACGCCAGGCTTCCTCATTTAAATGCAATGCAGTGATTCTGCCCAGTTTAACCAACTGTCACTTCCTCAAGCAGGCAGAACTTGATCCTCAGCTACGACACACTTCCAATCCTTGCAGCACCAGGCACACCCCATCAGTCCAGCCAAACCATTTGGGTGCCCACCTGCTGTAGATCTTTGAAACTTATGGCATTTTGATGGTATTTTTCATATTGGAAGATAGAAACACATGTTTTATTTTAAGATAAAATTAGTTCTGACTTCAGCAATCTCTATAGCCCTAATAATGGCTATCAAACAGCATCAACTCAATGAGGGAGGACATCTAGGACAAGACAAAATAAGAAGCTGAGACAGTGCAGTGTCTTTGTCTCCTCACATCCTTTTTACCTAGAATAATCATAAATTTCAAAGATGATATATATATCTATATATATATATATTTTTCAGCTGCATTAGATAATCAAAATCAGGACAGAGAAAATGAAAGTTGTCCCATAGCATCCCCATTATGTTTCCAATGTGTTTTTCCCTTTTATTTATATGAAGTGCACGCCAATGCTTATTTTATAATATCTAAATCCAGTAAATTGTCTCCAAAATTAATCCCCTTGCCTCTCTGCACTGTAGGGCACACCACTGCATCCTGTCTCTTGTCACTGCTCCAGCCCTGAGGAATGTGGTAATTAGTACAATCGGGAAGAGGAAGAAAGGAGAACACCTCTGCCACATTTGGAAATGGAAATCTCTAAACCCCTGGGTGATGTGCTCTCCTGCTAATCCTGCTGGGATAGAAAAAATATCTGAGAAGAATTTTCTGTGGGTTTGGGTAACAGGAAGGGAAGAAAGGGAAAGTGAGAGTGTCACCCAAATCAGGCAGGAGTTTACACTGTCTGCACCTTTTCCACTGGGACTCAAGAATGAGATGAGATTCCATTTAGCAATAATTATTTCCTTTCTAGATAAATCAATACTTCCAAGAGCAGAAGCAGAATCATCAGGAGCATCTTATGACAACCATTGGTATTTTTTAATTCTTCCTTTTGAGTTCTGCGGTTTAGGAAATTCCAAGATTAGGTAAAAAGGCTCTCCCCACATACAATTCTTCTTGGTTCACAAATATTTATGGTTATATTAATCACTAGGATATTTTTTATTTTTTCCCAATGTCACATTATTTAAACGTTCAGGAAGAAAATCTGTATTTTCAAAGTAAAGCTCCAACTCTTTGGTTCTTTCTAACAAGCCTCCCTCATGCATGACAACAGTGAATATTTAACAGAAATCTAAATATTATTCTGAACAAAATGATCTAAAGAAAGCTTTTGATGCAAAAAAATACAGTCCCTAACACTTTGCTGATTTTCAAGACTGAACTCCTATTCCAGCAGTCACCAAGCCACCTGCCCCAAATAAGCTTCCTGAAATCTCAACTAGACCTCCAGTTTAAAGTAAACACTTAAAAATGGAAAACCTTAGAGGAAACAGATTTAAGAGGGCTGCTATCAATCAGATAACCTGCTTCATTTGGGAAGGTTGGGATATTATTTTTAAAAACCAGTTTTGGAAAACGCAGCAGAAGGGAAAATACAGAACAAGAACGCCCCATCTAGCCTGGCACAATGAGTCTCTAGATCTTTGAAGATCTAGATACTTGAAGCTTTGCTTGTCCTTAGCACATATCCTGAGGCAGCTTACAAGCATCAAAGGCCAACCTCACCTGATGCCTGCCCTGTTCTATGCCCTCCAAAATTGTCTTCTTAAAGTCCTCCTGCTTGTCCTGCAGAAGGAAAAAGAACTCATGGCTCTTGCTGTACAAACAAATGTTCCTGGTCATGAAGACCTGGAACGTGAACTTAAATTGGATGAGATCCACCAGCTGAAAACTGATTTGCTGGCATGAGGCAGGCAAGAACAATGGTAAGACCAAGCAGTGAAGCTCTCATGAGTTCAGACTCCTACCATGAGCCATTTAGATCCACAAAGGTCAGACACAGCATCTTTGTTACAGACAAGATGGATTTTTGTTCACCACTGGCAAAACGAAGAATTTCATTGTACTTTGCACCATCCAGAGAGCGCAACAGCCAAAAAGTATTGGCTACAAAAATAAACTTTACTTGTCCTACCATACTTTATCTGTACAAGACTAAGGACCAAGTCTAAAAAAAGCAGAAATCCCTGGCCTTCCCCTGATGGTTCAAAAACCAGTAAAGAAGAACATAACAGCAACTCTGATTCCTCACTCTAACAGCAACACAGCAACCTCCAGAGTTGCTGAATTCAAATCCAAGAAGAGTGGCTGCTTTTGCAGATGTTTAAATGGTGCCTCATACACAGTGCATAAGCCCACAGTCTGTCACACACATGAAGGAAAGAGTTTTTAATTTAGGAGCCACGTTAGTGTGAGGGATGCTATCACCTGAAGGCAAAACAATGATGCCTGCCATGACAGAAACATGTCTGTAAAAGCATTGTGTCATAGAAGAATTAAGAGGTAGTCTGGCAGGCATGTCTGGGGTTTTTTGCAACTAGAATTATGTGGATGCCAAGTAGCCAGTTTTAGTCTTCTAAGCAAAGCAAGTGTGGAATCCTAACAAGTACTGAAGAGTATTAAGACCTTGACAGTGTAAAAAGAAAAATACAGGACGATACTGTCCTCATGGGTTCTCTTCCATCTCTCAATTTCTGCATAAAAGCGCCTGTATATCTTGTAGGACAAAGGTAAACTCCACCACTAGATCAACTCCTATGTAGCACAGCCTCATGTACAGCTGCAAGAGGGTCCAGGTTAAAAAAATCCCAATTTAAAACTCTTTTCTGTATTTCCCAGCTCAGAAAAGCTGAGATGATCTCACTGTCCAAAAAAAGAACATCTCTTATTTGCAGCTACATTAAAACAGACAAAGATGCAACCACCTTGTCAAGAGCACTGCTGCCTTCAAAAGGGACACCAGAATCTCCTTTAATCCAGGTGTGATTCTGCATCAAGAGGGAACAGTCATCCAAAAAGGTCCTTTTAGTTTATGGAAAGGTAAGCAACTGAAAAGCAGGATATCACCTCTCATTAAATATCACCAATACTCATTGTGAGATTTGCAGTCCTTAACCTGGCTCCTGTGGGAACATTTATGTACCTCCCACGTCTTACCTTACACAACCCTTGAGATGAAGGCAGCTGCTGGGAAATTCACAAAGAAGAAATAGGAAAGAAAGAAAGAAAAAAACCCGAAGAAATCTTATAGGAAAAATTATCCTCTCACCTCTGAAATTAGACAATCCTTGCCACACTGGTAAATAGATGTATTACTGAAGTGCTAGATATTTTTTCCTGAAGTCACTAAACCTTATTTCTGCTTTCAAAAAATGCTTTTATCAATTCATATTTCAGAGTTCCAATTTCCAAACTTTTACTCACATAGATCACAAAATCTAAACTAGCTGTTTTGTCCCCATCAAGGTTCCAAACAAGTAAAATTTACATTTGATCCAGTGGTAGGATCTCAAGCTGAGACCCTGGAAGTCCCTACTCCTGAAGGGGCTGGGGAACTAGAATGTAACTGTGGCACAGATGGAATCACAGGCTGAAGGCTTCAGATGTGCCTCAGATTCAGTCATTCATACACTTGGCAAAAGCAAGCTGATTTCAAAATGCATACATTAACAAGAAAAGGTGCAGGCCTGCCAGCTAGTTTTGCTACAGATTTTGACAGGCTAACTTTGTAAAGACATGGAAAAGATCCCTTAAAGAAGGGCATCAGAAAAGCACAGAAGAATTGTTAACATGCCAGACTTCATGAACAATTAGTCACAAAGAGACAAATCCTTTGAAATACCATAGAGGATTGAGCAGTTCTCCAGCAGACAGATGAGCACTCTGACACTGCTCATTTCTTGTACTACTTGTCACTGAAGAGCTTTAAGGAAAAATTAACCACAAACTGAAGAAAGTTCATCCCAGCCATCATTTTTAAAAAATTCTCCTGGTGCTTACAAAGCCACATTGTTTAATGAATGTACCAGAGCTCTCAAGACCTTCACTGGTTCCTGAACTGAATGACAAATTTGGTATCTAGGCCAGAGGATCAGTCCCTGAGAAGGATCAGTTCCTGTTTTCACTCAGCAGAACAAATGCACTCACGCTGAGATGTGGTAATGGTCACTCCCAGTTCAGAGAAAACTTTATGGGGACTAGAATCATTTTTCATAAAACAATCACAGAATGATCTGGGTTGAACAGAACCTTCCAAGACCATCCCATCCAACATCCCTGCCATGGACCAGGACATGTTCCTGGCTGCTCCTGTTGTATTCTCATGTTTAGGACATAAGCAGTATCTTCAGAAAGAACTGCTTTCCAACAGGAAAAGATGTTGCATGTCCAGCTCCTCAGTCACTCTGAATTAAACCTCAAGGATAATGAAAGTTTCTGGAAAACAATGTAGCATCAGGGCAAGCAATCCCAGGAAAGAGGGAAGCTGCAGGATGAAAAAGGAAGGAATAAAAAGCAACAAGAGATGCACTTTCTTTTGCTGTGTCTGAACACCAGCAATAAAGTAAAATTAACTGGACAAATGTAGACAGACCAGATAAAGGTCAAAGTCCAGATCTTCATTCAATTCCTGACTTCCTGGGACAACTTGATGGAATCATCTAAACCCATTTGAATGAAAATTGAGGTCCAGAAGAACAGTCTCCCATGGTACTGCCAAAGAAACTTTTTCATACCCAGCAGTAAAGTAACAGCCTTCAGAGCCCTCCCTCAGCCTGAGACAAACGTAACAGATCTATTCAAAACACCTCCCAACTTCAAATAAAGCAAAACAACACAAGAGTTTAAACAGAAGCTGCTTCAAACCAGAAGCACCTGCTATCAGCATCATTACCATTCTGCAGGCATTTCCCAATTAACTTATAATCAGAACTCAAAACTGGCAGATTTACATTGCAGGTCTTCCTTTCAAAGCAATTTTTCTTTGCTTCCTTACTTTGTTTTCCTTGCCTGTTCCACATTTTCATTGGCAGTACAAGAAAATGCTGTGAAATAAAACTTGACTTTAGAAAGGACAGAGATTGTCTTCTGCAATACTGAGAAGTCAATGCTGATGGCCACAAGCACTGCTCACCTTACTGATGGGGGGGTGGAAAATGACACAGTTCCAAAACTTTGAAGTGACATTTAAGCAACTCTTGCACGTTTTAAACTTTATGCACAGAAATTTTTAAATTTTTTTTTCATTACAGGCTTTGCTCCCTTCAATAAGATACTCCATGGGTTTTACCTTTATATAACCAAGTACTTCAATATTTTTTTTAAAATATCCAATAAACCCCCCCAAACCTATCCTCATGCTCAGTATCCAACAAAGAATTCACTAAGTGCAATAAGCATGCCAAAAATCCCATAGCCCCCCAAAATAATGACTTTCCTCCCTGCTAAGAGCAAGTTATCAGAACATTACTGACACAACTGCAAAAGAATTAATAAGGCCTAAAAAACATAAAGTCACAAAGAAGGGTGGAAATATAATTCTCAATTACAGAATTAGTTTATTTATATTTTTAAATAAAAAATAAAAAACTTCATTAAAGACTGAAATTTAAGTAACTTCATTACTATGCTGATTTATCAGGTTCAATGATATATTTTTCTGGCCGTCTTGGTTTTTAAAAGAAACATTTCAGAATATCCAACCATAACCCAAACCCACCCCCCAAGCAAAATAAAACACAGGGCAGTGAGTATGTAAGGGGGGAAAAAAAAGGAGAATACTCCTCCTAAGGCAAACAAAATAACATCTTTCCTGCTTGAGCCTTGTTTGATATGAGACTCTTAAACACCTTTGGAAGACTAATGTATCCATTGTTTTTACTAATTAAAAGTCAAAATGTTACATCCCTGTAGCTGGTGAAGAGGCAGTTTTGGGTCTCCTGCTATGTAATATGAAAATGACAATTATGTAAACAATTTAGTTTACATTACAGAAAATAAACATGGAGAAACCAATGTGCTAAAGCCAAGAGTTAGAAGAAAGAAATCAGATTATGCTGATCATTTAAAACACATGGCTTTGTTTGGGGTTTTTGTGTGGCAGTTTGCACAAGTTAAGAGACTAACAGTGTTCAGAGACCAACACTGACATAGAGAAGCAGGAGTTTCTAACACTAAAACATTTTGAATTCAAAGCAGATTACCCATAAGAACTTTTATTTTGTAGACCAAACAGAAAATACAGGCTTTAATAAAAGCTTCTTCCATGCCTCTTTTCACAGCCATATATGAATCTCTAAGCTCATCACTCCGTTCTCCAACCACACAAGCTTTGCCTTACAGTTTGAAACCAAAGGACTTTGCCCACAAGAAGCAGCAGAAGCCTTACCAGATCAGCACCAGCCTGAAGCAACACATCTGCCACATCTGTGTGTCCATTTTCACAGGCGTAGGTCAAAGCTGTATCTCCCGTTGCTGTAGTGGCATGAACATTAGCTCCTACAAACACAACATTTTTTTTGTATTGGACATGTCCTTATCAAGTGTTTCACATCATATAAACATAAAAATCTCTGATAACAGCTATATCCTACTGACCAACAGCCTCCACAGCCCAAGGGCATTGCTCTCATGGCAAAAATTGCTCTCATAGTGAAAATACTCCAAGGAGAGGGGGTTAGCCAAGGCTTGGTAAAAGCATGACTGACAATCTAAGCAGTCAAACCTATATGCTCACATATTCCTGCAGTCCCTCTACAGAAAGAAGGATTTCAGTTGTTATATCAAGCAAAAGGGACTCCAGAAAGTTTTGCAGATTGTCCATTTGACTCAGAGCTGCATGCCAAGGGAAACCAGACAAAATGTGTATCACTGAATTAGTATTAATACAACAAACCTATACATTTCCACAAATTTCTCTTCTTTCCTGCTCTTTAAAAACATTTGCTTTAAAACCATTTTGTTGAAATAATTTGTCTAGTTTCATATACACCAGCTCTGTGAAAACTATGCATGACTCTGGATACATAACACATTACTCTTAAAAAAAGAAATGCCAATGTGATTAGCCATTTTCTTATTTTTAAGGTGTGAGGTATAATTAGAGACTCCCTGATGCCAAAACAAGGCTCCTTAATCAACTTTCTACACTATCAGCAGTGAAGTGCAGGCAGCAAGCGTTCCAAGGAAGCTGGTGACAGGTGTCACATGCTGGTGTCACTGCACCAAGTGGCACAGTTGTTACTGTCCCTCGGTGAGCAGGGAGCTTTACTTTCTAAAATTACAAATCCAGCCAATTTTATGATTATTCTTAGAAAAGAGCATACAAATGAATCACCTTCCACAACAAGGAATATATCCCAAATACAGCTCCTTTTTCTTTATTATTTTAAGCAGAACACTTTACCAACTTTATAAACTGAAAGATGAATATCGAAGCATCATTTTACCCCAAACTCCAGCAAGATTTCATTTTTATTACTGTACAATGTAGCAGTACAGCTCATTCATCACAGAAATTCAGCACATTCCAGAATCTGTCTTGCTCACAACTTTCCAGCACACCATTCCTAAAGAACTGGTTATTCAGGGAGACTGAATGCAGATAACCAGGCTTAGTCAAAGCTGGAGTAGCAAGTAAAACCAAGTATTATCTATATTAAAATTTTGTCCTAGATGCAGATAGCTGGAAACAATGTTTCTAGTGAATGTGGATGCTTTCTAGATATGGAACAGGATCACCTGCTCCAGGAAGCACTTTCCTCTGTTAACAGTATCAAACAATACTGAGGTGCAACATATGCTTTTTCCTTCTTGCTAAGTTACCTGAGGATATTGTTTCTTGTTACAACACAGCCTCTATCAAAACCCCGGGCATCTCCCAAATCATACAAAACACATCAAGTGCATTGTATCTGTGGGCCTAATCACTTGCTCTGAACACATACCTGCTGCCAGCAAGTATTTCACCAGTTCAAGATGACCCTCTTGAGCAGCTTCCATCAAAGGTGTTGAGCAACCAAGCTCTATATCAGCTCCTGCCTTAATAAGGAAGTCGGCGACTTCGGAGAAGCCTCCACAGCACGCCAGGGTCAGGGCTGTTTCCTGCGTTTCTTCTGTCTGTGCGTTAATATTTGCCCCTGGGAAACAAAACAGCCATTACTGACCTGGCCACAGGTCACCAGCTGGGAGGTGAATGCTCATCACCCCCACAGCAGTTTGGGTGTTTGAGCGTAGCTCTGTGGGTACAGCAGTGAGCAGTGCCAGCCCCATGCTACATCAGAACAATCTGCACAGGACACCTGTTGGCCATGGATCACACCGTGTCCTCCATCGCCACGGGATCTCACCTTGTGCCAGCAGCAAGGCCACCATCTCTTCGTGGCCTTCCCGGGCAGCTTCCATCAGAGGTGTGTAACCCTCATCATTAACCTCCTCCAGGTTGGCTCCTCGTTCGATCAGAAGTGCTGCCAGCTCCACGTGCCCGCCACAAGCAGCCAGAGTGAGCGGGGATTCGAAGGAATCCGCGGGCATGTTCACCTGGGCACCGCTGTCCAACAGCAGCCGTGCCACCTCCACGTGGCCATCCTGCAAGCAAAGGGAAACCCAGGAGTCAGACAGAACTGAAGTCACTTGATGCTGTAATTGCAACCACTATCACACTAGGCCTGAAAATGATCCTACAGAGACACGGCCTTTTTACTTATCATGGTTTAATTAGGACAGTATGGTAATACCTGGACCTACCTAACCAACATTTAGGTTTCCACCTACATCTAAGTGAGGTTTAAATGGATGAGGAAAAAAGAGCTAGATATATGTTGGTGCTTCTGTTTTTTCAGGGAAAAAGAATTATGGCACAAGACTTAATTATCCAGCACGATCTTTGGGACACAACAGTACTAGAGATAGCCGTAAGTGCTGTAAGTAATAAACTCACTCCACAACTAAACCTCAAGACAAGCATCAAAAAAAATTTTCTTATTATTTGTAGTAGTAGTTGATTCATGACTTCTACAGACAAAAAACCAAAAAAGCCCCAATTGGCAACTTCTAGACCCTGGTAAAGATACCTGCAGAGAAATTGAAGTGGGTAACAATAAGGCAGGTAACAGAAGGGGAGAAGACTTCGAAAAAATCTTAAAGGTGATTGAAAAATGCCTTGTTGTGAAGCCATAGAATAAGAGAATTAGGATTGCCAAAGCAGTCCAAGTCCTTACCATTCAAAGTACATAGATCTTCTCAATAAAGTATTGTTAAACTTCTCGGTTACTTGAAATAGACAGAGTACCTGAAATCCACATTTCACCTAAGGTGTAGCTGGTAGAGAGCCACAACATTGGCAAAAGGGGAAAGCTTAAGGTGGCCATGAAGCAGGTCGGAGGTAACCTGAGATGGACAGCAATCAGGGGTGCACGTTAAACACAGGCTGTTCTTCTCAGAGGGTTGCCTAAAAGCCAACAGCCACCTCATTAGAGGCATTACCCTAAGTGTGGCACTGTCCTGACCAAAACAAACTCTGAGGCACTTACAAAAGAATTGGTGATCAGAGACCAGACATCTCAACAACCTGTACCTGCTGCATTCCTTAGATGGAAAGAGATGAAGACTGGGAACAGTCACAACAATTTGGGAACAGCTCCCTTGTGCAAGGGTGCAGCCAAATGATAAGAAGAAACAAATTCCTTGTTATGGAATTGGGACTTCAAAGGCTCATTTTCCTTTCTGCTGTTTTCAGACCTAGTCTGAAACACCGAAGAGCTGAAAACAAGCAGGGAAACCTCACAACTCTCTCCCCCAAGTGAGGTGCTTCACAGCCTCCAAACCAAGCCAGCCCTAGGATTGTTTCACCAGGGAATGAAGAAAAAGCAAACAAAAAACCCAACCTAAACAGAACAGTGGGGGTGATTAACCTTTAGTCTGCAGTCATGCTGCAATCTCCTTTAGGTGACAGTATGCACTCACTGTCCTTCTGAATTCCTTACTGGCACCAGGCTCTCCTGCAGGGCAGGCTATTCAAGGATACAATTACCAGCTCACTATCGGAAGACTTGGACACAGCTCCCCACGTTACAACCTGACCTTGGTCACTTGCATCATCACCTCACAACTGCACTGAAAGAACACTTGATCCTCCAGCTCTCAGCAGACTGAAGGAAAACTGCAGCCTATCTTCCAAGGATTACAGGCTACTGGGAGAAAATTCAGTTTCCCCCTTTTTGCTGTGCTTCCTATGGAAACAAGGTCCCTGTTCTTTCTTCAAAGAAGTTCCCAGCTTGAAGAAGAGAGACAAGGTCACCCAAGGTCTGTACAGAAATGGTTGCAGATATGCTTTGACACAATAGCACACTCTTTATTAAGATGATGCTCTTGGATAGGGAAGTTTTTCCTCAAGGCTGCACTGAAATTATGTGGACAGTTGCTAGAGAACTAAGGACTGCATTATTTTTCAAAATAAAACAGTAGGGCAAAAGAAAAACCTCACAACTTCATTTACAAAAAACCTAGAAGAAAGCAAGTCATCTCTCCATGCAAAACACTTCCTGCAGTGATGAACAGACAATTGTAATGCATGAATCATCCAGCTCAGTGCACTTCTGGAAGGCTCATTCCATGACACACTGAGAGACCTTATTTATAAAAGCAAAGGTGGAAAACACACTAAAAAAAAACAACCAAAAAAAACCAAAACCCCAAACAAATGACTTGTACTACATCACTGCACTGCAGATTAGTCACCCATAAACTTAACACAGGGAGCATTTAAAACAACACATCACCCCCCAAAAAATAAGAGTTTCTTTTCTTTGTGAGCAGTTAGACTAACAAGCTGGTGGGAGCTACAGTAAGCACTTTTTTACAGTAACAACTCACACATTCACTTGCAGCCCCCAAACAGCTTGTAACCCAAGGCTCACTCTATTTTATCACCTCCTGCATTCCTCTCTCCCCGAGGAGGGAGCAGTACAAACAAAGGTATTTACCATGCAGGCCTCCATCAGCGCCGTGTGCATCTCATCTGTTTTGTGTTCTTGATCAGCTCCAGCTTCAAGCAAAAAACGAACCATATCTAAATGGCCTTCAAATGAAACAGATCAAAACAAATAAGCATTCCATATCATCATTTTAGCAGTACAGACACTTAATGAAATCATTCAGATTTTCACAGTTTGCTATTAGAATCTTTACAAGTTACAATTGGTAAATAAGGCTTTTCAAAGTATACTTTAAAAAATACCAATGTGAATGAGTCAGCAGACTTCTGAAAGCCTTTCCCAAAGATACTGCTCAGCTTTGAGATGGAGACAGACCTGTCTAATTGAAGTTTACACAAGAACCTTTCCTTGTGACTTCAAGCTACAAAAACTGTGCTTATTCCCTATTGAACTGTACAGTGATGTAAGATTTCCAAGTGATTTAAGAGTTCCAAGGCAGCACACAACTGTGGGGATTATCTTTTAGGAATGGATCCATGTATATCTGAACTTCAAGCTTTTTAATAACACTCACAGACATATATCTGAGAACTAAGATATACACATTATATCATTGTCTGACATTATTTTTAAAAGCTTCTACTGAGCTTTACCAAAACTTGATCTAAACTCCATTACAGTTTCTGTCATTTTAGAAACTGCCCTTTCTTTGTTTTTAGCCTCTTGAAAAGCATTCTTCTCTGAGGGAAGACTTAGTCTTACATAAACTGACAAGAAAATCAACCATCTTGTCAAAGATAATACAGGACATGTCTGTCATTCAAGGTTTTACATTCCATGACTTAATTAGGTTCTGGGTCAAAAGAAAAAAGAATGACCCTCCAACACTTTCAGGGGTACCTATTACTGGCATTTCCCTGAAAGGAACTACCATATGCCATAGGAAATCCATGACAAATCCAGATGCATGTCCTCAGATAGGTTATACATAGTATGTATCCTCAATCCTAACCACAGAGGCAAAGCCTAAAGTTACTATGACAATAATCCACATCCTTAGTTTCTATTTGTAGAAAAACCATGGTTGGAAAGCAAACTGCAGAAGCACAGTGGATTACCACTGCACTGTTACTTGACACAGAACCTTTGAGAAGCAAAAGAAATTAAGTCAAAAGTCCCTAAAAGTTCATCATACTTAAGAATTCATAGACACTCTCCCAAATTACACTGAAGGAAAAGAACCCAGTAATAATGGAGGCACTGTCACCCCATCAGGTATTACAGAAACACACGTTCCAAATTTGCATTTTTTAAAGAACCAACAGAGATGTTTCCAGAATTCACAGACAGTTGGTGAGGGAACTGGGAATGAAATAGGGAATGTGGTGTGTCAAAGCACAAGTTTGGACATAGCCAGTTACTAACATACCAGTTAGCCAAGTTTTCACCTGCAACATGTCAAACACATCCACCACATCTGAGCACAAACACAGATTTAATACCACTACACCACAGAGGAGCATTTTGTGACACTGAGTTTAAAACAAAAACTGATTTTTGTAATCTCTTAGGAAGATATTCAATATATTGCTGAAAGTTTTAGTCAGATACATCCTAGCAAACAAATTTAAACAAAAATACAAAACAAGGCAAGAGACAATACCTTTATAGCATGCAAGTGTAAGTGCACTTTCTTTGAACTCGTTGGAGTGAGTGTTGATTCCTGCACCATATTCCAGCAATACTCTTGCAACCTCGACATGCCCTGCACTGGCTGCTTCCATCAGGGGGGTATGTCCGTTCTCATTGTGGTCTTCTATGTTAGCACCAGCTTTCAGTAGCACCTTCACCACGTCCACAAAGCCCCCGGCACAGGCGTACGTGAGAGCTGTGTTCCCTGCAGAGGAGAGGTTGCATGAGAGCCCTTTCCATCACCCACTCCTAATACAGGGAAGGAGATCAGTGTTAACAGCTCAGAACAAACCCAAGTACATCAGCAGCAGCAGCCTTTCACCTCACAGCAATGTTACTCCAGCCCATCATTTCAGGCTGGGTATAAAATCCTAAATAATTGTAACATGAAAGTTTTAATGACAGGCCAATATTACAAATCAAATTCTTTTTCAGTCTGAATGTTATGTTTCCTACTTTAGCACACAAAAATAGATCAAATAAACACACACAAAAAGATCAATGAGTAATTTTTACTGTGGAACTGGGGGGGTGTGGTGTGTTTATTTCGTTTTGTCTTTCTTTTTTTTACCTAAGATTGTATCCTGTAATTCCTTGAAAACATTCTACTGGCTGGCTGAGAATAAATTTATAATTTAAAACTCTGGTACTGTAAGTGACAGACACTCACATATGGCTCATGTTTTAAATGCTACAGTCAATTTTAAGGTAACTTCACTTAACATGGCAAAACAGAAAGATAAAAGAATATCTCGTAGTTCGGACACATGACTTTGAAAATTTGAACAAAGTTTAAATTCTATCTTAATAAACACAATCCAACTGCAGGTTAATGTTGTCAGTGAGGTTAGTTAAGCTGTGGTCAAGAACCAGCAATATAGAGAACATTCAATGCATTGAAAGAATATTAACTTCTCTTGGGTAACAAGAAAGAGACAAATAACTGGTGTTGATGGGATTTGTCTCATGATCATCTTACTGGGTAATTCTGGATTAGACTAATGAGAAAAGATAAACTTCATGTATTTTTCTTGTCCTCTAACACCAGAGTGGTTTTTACAGGAACAGTGCTTTCCCTTAGAATTTATATTAAAACCCATCTTTAATAATGGCCAGTTAAGACTCCAAACACATTTGCTACAGATCTGGTCTATTCCTAACAGCTCCTGTCACGTTTTCTTATGACTGAAAGTGTTAGACAAAAACACAGATGTTCAGAAGAGCTGTGTGCCTTATGTGCCAGCCTGACTAACTGCACCTGCTCCCCAGTTACCTGTGGAGGATTGTGCATTGACATCTGCACAATGGACAAGGAGGAGTTTAACAATATCCACGTAGCCTCCGCTGGCAGCTGCCATCAAGGGAGTGATGTCGCCTTTATTCCCTCGATCTTCAACGTTGGCATGCATGGCTAGAAGCACCTAGGGGAAAAGTTCACTACAGTGAGTAAATTGTAACACCAGCCTTTTGGTTTTAGTTCAGTGGGGTTTGTGAAACCGGTTCCCCAGCCAGCTGCCACAGTCCCTCAAGCCCACTGCCACCCCCAGGAGTATTCGCAGTTACTGCCTGCACTGGGCTCTGCTGCAGAAAATCCTGAGTCTGTACGTTTGTTCATATCATAGTTCAGTGAAATAGTGACATTTTCAAAAGTCACAGGGTAACTCAGTGACCAGAATGACAGCAGAGAAATCATCACCTGCAATAATGACCAGGGCACCCACAGGTCAAGCTCACAGGTGAGAAGTTCTCTCCCTGTCCTTTGTTTTGGCACAAAGTGTGAAGTCGGGCATTTCTGAGAACTATCACCTAAACATTTCAAAGCAGCTGCCCTTAGATACAGAAGCAATATAGTTCAAAATTAACAGAAATTGATGCACTGTTGATACAAATGTGATTTAACAAAAGGATTGTCTGACTGAGACATAAGCTTTTATAAGCTTATCCAGTTGCAGAATTTGGGTTTGCTGCTATTTTAGATCTTCTTGCTTGGCAGAACAGCTGGACTGCATCTAGAACAATGCCAGAAAAGTAGATATATCACAAAACATAGGATTCATTGGTCAGACAAGTCCCTTCAACCTAAAGGCATATGTGACTGCATTTTCCATAAAAGAAACCCAAACAACAACTGGAAACTCACAGTAAGCTAAGTATTCACTGATATTCTGTTGAAATAATAAAAAAATGTAATAACCACAATAGCTGAAATGTTTACTAATCAAAGAAGCCCCTCAAACAATGCTTCACAAATGTTTAGTTCTAACTGTACTTGTTACTTACTTGTGCCAATTCATAATATCCTGCTGAGCAGGCCAAGCAAAGCAAACTCTCCCCTTCTTCAGTGTGTTCATTTACACTCCGTCCTTCATCCAGCAGCTTCCGGACAGCATTTACATCCCCATCGGAGCATGCTTCTGCCAAACTGCGACTGCAAAATCAGTTACCACACAGTGAGCTCAAAACACACCTGCAATAGCTGGGCAGCTTTCCTAGGCAAGGAGGAAGCCTTTAAGCAAAGGCTCTTGACTTCAGTGCTAAGCTTTACTTGAAAATACACCTTATATATTTATATATATATTTTTAAAGTGTATCTATATACACACACATTATTTCCACAGGTGACATAGAGATAGACACTTTCCTTATTGTCTAAATTATCTTGTTCTCATCAGTTGCTAACTTGTAATATGCTGTCATAGAGACCAGATGCTAAGAGGAGTGCTCAGAGCTGGCTTTTGTGGTCTCTGCAAGACAGAAGCAAACCTCACTGATGCTATTCCCACTTCAGGGAATGCCAGATACACAGAGGCTATGACCATGACAAATTGTTGACTGCAGGTGCCAAGGCAAATTCATATTGCAGACAAAGCCAAATATTCAGCAGCCAAGTATCACAGAGACCACTAATATGAATAATGCAACCAGACATACTTCTTCAATTAAGAGAGCAATCAACCACTCTTCTACAGCCAGGAACTTTCTTGAATAAGAACTCAACTCTCTGGTACACAGGAAGTGCAGCAGATTACAAACTAACATTTTTTTGTACTTTTCTCTTGTCCTGTGAAGCCAATAACCTGATGGGACAGTAGTTACACCTTCAGATGCAATCTGCTTCTGCGAGCAGTAGAACAGCTCCATTACAAAGTATTAACTATAAAATTACCAGAATTTGAAATAAAACCCTATTCCACGGTTGGGGAACTGGGGGTCAGTATGAACAGTTAACTGAATTTGAAATAAAATCCCATTCCATACTTGGGGAACGGGGGGTGATCAGCACATACAATTAACTGAATTTGAAATAAAATCCCATTCCACAGCTGGGGAAGTTGGGGTGGTGAGTATGTACAGTTAACTGAATTTGAAATAAAATGCCATTCCACAGCTGGAGAAGTTGGGGTGGTCAGTATGTACAGTTAACTGAATTTGAAATAAAATGCCATTCTATAGCTGGGGAACCAGGTGTGGTCAGTACATACTTGTCCACCTGTCCGTTGTTGTGATTGTTCTCGGCTCTCATGCGCGTCAGCGCGGCGGCCGCCTCGTCCAGCGCGCAGCTGACAGACGACGTCAGTCTCCGGAGAACCTCGGGATCTGCGAAGGCTTTGCCATCGGCAGTGGACAATTTACCAATTCCTTCAGTGCACGTTCGTTCATCAGTCGGGTTAGTATGAAAGTCACACAAAAGAAATGCAAAGACACTGTTTTAGAGTTCAGCCACATGCACTATTAGTTAAAAATCATTTGCAAACATGCCAGATAATTAGCAACTTTAAACTATCTGCTAACATTTGCCCAAGACCTGAATATTTAATCAACTATAATATAGCAATTAAAAACCCCATATCTTTCAACTGGCAGCTTTGTTACTTGTTCCCAAGTCTCAACTCATACCTTTGAAGAACTTAAGAGAACCCAAAAAACCACCATATTGCTGTATTAAGGATAAATCCAGGCATTGAAGCCCAAAACCAGAAGTTTGGGAAACAAGCGTAATTATATTTTCTGAATGTGAAGAATTTTCTACTTAAAACAAAGTACTCCTTTCCCACCCAAAACAAAGCAGACTGAGTTCTATTTCTTTCTTTTTTAAGAGCAGGAAAAGCTTTAACATTTATTAATTTAAATTCCAGTAATTTACCACTCTAAACAGCTCTAGCTAGAGGAACAAAAGTTAAAAATGAAATTTCAAATATTTTAAGTATACTTGAAATTAGTGCCTCTCCTTCACAGACATAACACAGTAGAAATGCTTAGATTCAAGGAACTTGACAGTTATTTTTTTTATAATAGTTTCTTTGCTCAAGTTTTACTCCACACAGGTTTTACTCCTCATAGTTAAGCACAGCCTATTCAACATGTGCAAACAATCCCTGCAGTGTGGGCAGGGCTTGTATCTTCACGTACAAATGTGTAAACAGCACAAACACCTTTCAGCCATCCACAAATAACCCAAAAATAAATCAATCCATTTCACATGCTACAAAAAGTGAATGGTTACTGGTTTATAGATCAGCCACCTTGACCAGTCATGAATCAGTAACTTTTCAATTCCTTAGCTGTTAAAAAGGGTCAAATTAGATACAAACCTCTGGAAATAAGGCACCTTATCCCTCAGAAGATTTTCTATTCCGTATGTGCATATCTCTGCAGGTTTGGTTTACACCACATTTCCCACAACCTAGCTTGTAATTATTACAGAATAAATCATATTTTAAGTTTGAACGTTGTCTTCAGACAACATATTTCCCCAGTTTGAGAGCATCCAATTTGCTTCTCAATAATGTAAGAATCAATACTTACCAAATTTCTCCACCCCAAACTTTTATGCCAGCACACACCAGGCGCTGTGTGACATTACCCTGCATGGCTGCTGCAGTGGTCCAAGTGCTGGCTGACAGCACTGGAACGTGGTGCTGGACATGATGGAGAATCCTTCTCCTGCCATTGAGACAGACACCTGCCCTGGGGTGCAGCAGTTTACTCAGCTGATGGAAATGAGCCATGGAGGTTCTTAAAAGATTTGTGTCCTTCCTCCCTGACTCCAACATCCCACATCTGGATCCCTTCAGCATTGTCAAGGGGCTATGAATACCGATTTATAACTGATCGCCGAGTCCGCAAAGAAATCAGGAATCACACCTCCATCTGTCTGGGTTGGAAGCCTAGCTAGTCCAGAGCAATCAGAGCACAAAAATGAGGGGCCAGGACACTTGGAGGTCACTGGCCACATGCCCCCTTCCACCTCCAAACTGTCGAGGCTGTCACCCCTGCGGCCATTGCTGTTAAATATAGCGAGGTTGTAACAAGCCTCAAATGCCACAGCTCAGGCTTTATGTATTCATGGAAACTGGATTTGCTGACGGTGTAAAGGGGTTGGAAGTCCTGTCACCTCTGCAGCCAGAGCAGGAGGGACAGTGGGGGACAGTCACTGCAAAACTGGGTCAGGACATCAATTTAGTACCAAATACACCGAGACAGTGACAGATTTTCCACAGCTCTGCTTCCCCAAGATGGCTCACAGAGTAACTGCTGAGATGTTTGCACAGGCTATTTCTGGTGGCAGTGCTGGCTTACGCTGCATTGCAGTGTACATAAAGCACTGCTGAAGAAAAGACAAAGAATTAAGTCTTCACAACTCAGCACTGATGCTTCATCTGGGACTGCTGCAACCAAAGCTGAACACCATGGTAAACAACATGGAAAAGTATTCAAGAGAAATCCACAGGACCCCTGAGCAAAGGCTAAAAATGTGCAGATTTAGCTTACAAGGAGCAACACAGCTGCAGTTTCCCTCCACTTCAAAAAGGTCTAATTGAAGGAGCTGCTAACAGCTGTACTGTTGACAAAAGAAGTGGAAAATACAAAGTCCAGCCAAGAGAAACCAACCCAAAAAACAACTCAACACCACGATCAAAACCCCACACAACCCAAAAGCGCACATGACCTGGCTATCTCCAGCTACACTGGGTATCTCCATCATTTCAGCTCACCAAGGCAGTAGAACTGACAAGCTGGACAAGCAGGATCTACACTTGAGACTGTCTCTGTTTTAGAAGTTTGTTGTGGCATTCATACCTGGGATTTTTGAAGGCAGAAGTCACACCACAGATCTCTCATGCCTGCTAAAGACAAATTAACTTGTCCCACTACAGCTCTCCTATTCTCAAGTATCTGTTTTCATAGATGGTGGGTTTCCTGGAGGAGTCACCAACCACAGGCCACTGGCTCTTCCTTCTGGATGCTCAAAGCACACTTATAGCTCACTCCAGTTTTGGACTTTGATCCAAAAAATTAATTATAACCACACCAAGACCTTTCAGAGGGTAAGTGTCTTTTATTTACCTCACAAGCTAGAGCTCAATCCAGGTGCCATCCCCTGCTCTTAATTTCATATTTTTATATTGTGCATGCCAAAACTAATCGACAGTCACAGAAGACATCAGAGCTGACATTTGTTTGGCTGGCTGGAGTCAAAGGGAGACAGACTACAAGAATTACCACTGCAGACACACATTCATTCACTCCCCTTTTGCACATTATACTCAGTAATTTACTATATAACAAAAAATTTTAAGTTTTTATTTTGCTATGATTTAGGATGACTATGCCAGAATCTCAATGCTGTAATACTCATGTGTCTTTTAATCTTTAATTTACTTAATTTTGTGTGCAAACCACTTGTTCTTGTGTCATTCTCATAACACACAAGGGACTCCAGCAGTCTGATTTACATGCAGGATCTGAGCCAAAGTCATTCTTGCCACCTCCCATCCAACAAATACATGGACTGATCACTGTTGCAGGTTTTAGTCTGAAAAGAGAATATGGGACTCATTGTGTTTTATTGAGAACAATCCACAGTCATTAATCGTACAGAGAGGGTGATGTTTTTAATGCAAGGTTAGATTTAACACCAAAATTATGAAGAGTATGTTCTTAAGCAAGCCAAAAGGAAATGCCTTCATTCATCACTAGCTGCCATGCAAAGACCAAAAAGGTGAATTCGAAACTAGCTTGGATGGAATTACTGTAAAGACTGTACCTTGTAAAAACCTAAGAACAGTGGCCCTGAAAGTCACTACATAAGGATGCTCCTGAACAATAGATAATTGGAAGAACAGAGAGCAGAGAGACTTTCACCTATATTGTGCAGGGGAAAGCAGGGCCACTGCAGGGCCCACACATCTTCAGATGAGATGAGCCAGACACACCTTCACATCTTGTGTAGTGGACAGCTCTTCATCTGAACATCTGCTGCTGGAGCCACGTGCCAGCTGTTCATAAACCCAGCAGGAACAAGGCCAGCAGCACTACCCAACAATGGAAGAGGTCAATGACTGAACTCTGGGCCAGATAATGCCAGATGTTCCACACCTTAATGCCATATTACTGAACTATTTAAATTAGCCTGAAGTTGAATACAGAGGTGTATTAGAACAAGGAACTCACCTTTCAAGGGACAAGCTTGCTCATCAGATACACACCTACGCTCCTATAACCAACACTCCAATTTCCTTGTTGACTTTCAGACTCATCAGGGTATTCCCACCTTGTAACTACCAACGTTAGAGTTTTAAGGTAACCTGAAATGAGCTGGTAACTTCTCAGTGTGACTGGAGTTTAACAAGTCAGAGATACAGATATTTCCTCAAAAAAATAAAAAAAAATAAAATTAAAAAAAATAAAATGCCAACAAGTTTGTGCCTTTGGAAAACACAGTTAAGTCCCTCATAGGACACACAGCTAGTGTCCACATATACTTTGAACATCAAAGGAGACTGCTCCAAAAAGATCAACATATCCAAGAGATACTGTGCAATAATCCTCACAAAGCCCTGCAGATTCAGTGGTGATTGTGCTCTTTCCCTGTCAGTTCCAGCACACTGCATGTTCTAACACACAGTGGAGCACACTTACTTGTAACACATCCAATTTATGCCCTCATGTTCATCACAAAGTCTAATTCAACTTCAGTTTGTACAGAATCAGCTGGGGGTCCTTAAGGGCTTACACACCCCAAAGACAGGTTGTGATGGAAATGTGGACAGTTTTAAAAGGCCCAAAGAAGTCCAAAATGAGAATCATGGCCCAGAAATTAGTCTTTTATCTTTTTTACAGTATGTCAGGAATCTGCTCTCATCAGCCTGGTGTACAAATAGCACCTCAAACAAAGTGAAGAGGGTTCAAGGAAGGAGCAGGAGGGAACTTCATTTTAGGTTCTTTACTGGAATCTCCATTCAGGGGAATTGAGAAGTTCCAGACTGTCCAAAGCAACAGCCACAGCCTTGTGCCAACGAGCAGTGGCCCCACCAGAGCAGTAGTGACTGCAGCACATCACACAGCTGCTACAAGACAAGGCAACAAGCAGAACTGAACACATGCTGTTCTGTAAGGTCTCAGGTGGCTAAGTGGCAAAGCTACACACTGTGTAACTAAAAAAAAAAGTGTGCACTTGGTTCCTCTCTGATGATGTCTAAATTTTCCCAAAAACAAATTTCATATTACAAATTTCAGTTTCAGGGCCAGTAAACCAAAGAAAAGAATCCTCCATTTGCTTGTAAAGAGTAGTCCAAAGCCAAGCAAACCAAAAGGGACAGTCATTTGCAAGTTTCACTGCACTAAGATATCTAATT